CTTCCACACCAAACTCACCCAGTCAGGCCTTTATGGAGCTGCTTTATGCACTGGGGCTCAGTCATGCTGGAACAGAAATGGTTCTTACCCAAACTGTTCCCACAGAGTTGTAAGCTTATAGTTGTCCAAAATGTCATGAAGCATTAATATTCCCTTTCACTAGAACTAAGGGTTCTAGACCAACCCCTGAAAAACAGCCCCATATCATCATCCCTCCTCCACCAAACTTTACAGCTGGCACAGTGCAGTCAGTCAGGTAACGTTCTCCTGGCATTCGCCAAACCCAGACTCGTCCATCAGACTGATAGATAGAGAAGCGTGATTCGTCATTCTACAGAATACATTTCCACTGATCCAGTGGTGACATGCTCTACACCACTTAATCCGATGCTTGGCATTGTGCATTTCGATCTTAGGCTTGTGTGTAGCTGATCAACCATGGAAATCCATTTCATGAAGCTCCCAAGGTGCAGTCGTTTTGCTGATGTTTCTTCCAGAGGCAACTTGGAACTCTTTACTTTAAACTATGATTTTGCTTGGTTTACCTTTTCATGGCGAAGGTCTTGTTGCTCCTAGATGCTTCCATTTCACAATAATAGCACTTACAGGGGCAGATCTAGCAGGACAGAAATTTCACAAATTGACTTGTGGCAGAGGTGGCAACCTATGACAGTTCCATGTGTAAAGTCACTGAGCTCTTCAGTTTGAGTCATTCTACTGCCATTGTTTGTCTGTCGAGACTGCAAGGCTATATGCTTAATTTTATCAACCTGTTAGCAGTGGGTGTGGCTAAAACACCTGAACTCAATAATTAGGAAGGGTGTCCCAATACTTTTGCCCAAATAGTGTATGAAATAAAGAGTTGTATGTTTACTAAAAGTGATAATAAGAGTTATGGAAAAACCGGTACCAAAGATGCACAAAAGCTTGGCTACAGAGAAGAGGATCACTTATAATGCTTGACGTCCATTCAGCTTCTAACCTTAACTAGAACCTGTATAGCGGAGGGCTTCAGTGATGAGAACCAAGCAGATAAAACACAAAGCACACAGTAAATGCCAACTAATGACTCGCACACACGTTGGTGGTATTCCAACCAGTCAGTTTATTTTACTAGTTGACCACAAGCCAAGTCTTAAATCTTCATTTGTTCATTCATATATGAATCAAGAACCAATACTAAAGCCCTGTAATGGAGTTGCTCACACAAATAAAAGTAAGGAGAGCATGGTACAGTGGTCTTTCATGTTACAGGAGCAACCTTCTCTCTCTAAAGCTACACTCCTGCCCATGTTACTTGAGTGCATCCTAAAGAGAGAGTACACATTTCACTGGACATTACATAGTCACCATGGCAGAAGTAAGCTAACAACCTGGTAGGTAGTTAGCTAACAAGATAAGTGTACTAGCTAACACTACAAGATAGCCAATGACATCAACCACACAAGTCTACTGGTGTGACAAACACATTTTTATATATTCTGTGTAGCATATTTTAAAATCATGGGAAATTTTAATTATAATCCAATATAGTGAAATACACCGAATAGACATAACATTATGACCACCTCCTTGTTTCTATGCTCATTATACATTTTATCAGCTCCACTTACTATATAGGTGCACTTTGTAGTTCTACAATTACAGACTGTAGTCCATCTGTTTCTCTGCATACTTTGTTAGGCCCCTTTTACCCTGTTCTTCAGTGGTCAGGACCCCCATGGACCCTCACAGAGCAGGTACTATTTGGGTGGTGGATCATTCCAAAAAAGGGGGCTAACAAAGTATGCAGAGAAACAGATGGACTACAGTCTGTAACTGTAGAACTACAAAGTGCACCTATATAGTAAGTGGAGCTGATAAAATGGACAATGAGTGTAGAAACAAGGAGGTGGTCATAATGTTATGCCTGGTCAGTGTATATGCATTATATTAAATGCATGTGGTCATTCACTTTCTCTACTGAGTCATAGTTTCATTCATGCTCAGCTACCGTAACTTTTGTCACTCAAGATAAAGGTCAACATAGTCACTGACTTATTTCTGCTTTATTTTGTAGATTGGAGCATGGAGGTCGCTCACGGATAACACCTGGTCTTTGGAAATGTAAGTGTTTTGGTCAGTTTCCCAGTGAGGGATTTAGACTAGGCTTAATCCCTGTCCACAAATCTGACTTCTTATCTTGCATACAGTTGAGTTGCATTTAATTTACTTACTTTTTTTGTAGATAATACAAGCAAATGATTGTGTATGTGTTTCCCCCTAGACTACCAAGAGCTGCACATGGATTACACACCGAGTGATCTCACATGTTCTCCAGAAGGGAAAGGGGTCATTAGACTTCCAGTGTTTTCAGAGTTTCTTTGCTATGACAGTGACGATGAGGAGAAAAAGGAACCAGAAAAATGGGCAACTGTGCAGTCTAGGGAACAGCTAATAGGGGGTCGATTTTACTGGGAGCTGAAGTGGACAGGTGTGGTCAGCGTGGGAGTAAGCGACAAGGTATTTTTGGGTAGACGTTTAACACTAGTCGTTCACCAGTTCCAGTTTCAGTACCCGTATTTTGCCATGCACAATGACAAGGACTACTTCACATCTATTAGTGTGGTCACTGTGGACACGCCCAGTACTCAGAGGATCGGATTACTTTTGGACTGCCCAGCAGGAACTCTGTCCTTCTACAGCATTTCATCTGAGGGTAAAAGTCATCTCTACACGTTTCACACCAAATTCAGTAAGCCCATGTATGCTACGTTCGAGCTCACACGCCCAGACGAAATAAATGGAATACCATCTGTTGCCATTGCCACACAGTCACCTGATTCTGTTCGCCATACGAAAGCTCAGCTGTTTGAACACTTTAGGAACTTTACCAGCCGGTATTATGGACTGAGAGGTGGACTGGGCTTATTATGGACAACTCATTTTTGAGACAGTGCGTAAGCCAAGGCTAGCCTAAATGAACAAACTCTGAAAATCAGGAATATGATATTGCTGGGACATTGGACACTATATTAGGGGTTGATAGCGGTGTAACAATACACTCAACCCACAATTTAATTTATCAATACTGGGTAAACAACAAAATTTGAATGAGGAAAAATGATAACTGTGCCCATGTTGGCATATACCTTACTAACAAACATGCTTGTGTGGATAGTTGATTAGAGCTGGTTGTTTGCAAACTTTATGGCTCAAACAGTGCAACTTCATCTAGTGCAGTAGTAGTATTTTATTTTTTTTATTTTAGTCCTTGTTTATAATTTTCCAAAATAAATACAAACACAAAGAAATAAATAAATAAAGTCTTAAATTAAATTAATAGGAAACAAAAAAATATGTATTTGACAGAAGGCCAGGGTTAGGGTTAGGCTAGGGGTCGGCAACAGGCAGCTCTTTTACTGTCCAGTTGCGGCTCCACAGCTGAATAAGATTTCTAGGTAAAAATAAAATAATCCTTCTTTACAGTAAAATAAAGCTCTGCTGATCGTTCAACACAGTTTAACAATAAATGATCTTAAACACTGGAGTTAATGTAGAACTGCTAATACACCTTTTCGCCGTGAAGATTGGCGCTCAGACTGCTGTCACCATAGCAACGCACCTAGCTAGTAGCTAACGAATCAGCAAAGAGAATTCAATAATCAATAATTTGGAGACTAATAGACTTATTTGCCTTTATAATCACTCCAGCTGGTTTCCTGATATGTTTAATCTGCAAAAAGAAACTGACAAACTCAAAAAAGTCATGAAGCTGAAGTCAGTTTCTCATTCGCTAGCTTGTCAGCAGGCACCATTTAAGATGGAACGGGAAAATTCAAACGAAGCTGGAAAATGAGAAGCGACTTGAGCCTCAAAAAAAATCAAACGCTGCGAGACATTTTACAAGAAACTGTTCTACTTTTGTGGAAAAGTTTCCTGCTGGAGATGCAAGAAAATCGGCTATAGCTGAGCTAAAGCTTAAAGCAGAGCAAAGTGAAAAAACAAAAACAGAAGCAAAAACAAGACATTCCAAACATTTAATATACAATAATGATTATATCTCAGTCCTGTATTTATTTACTACCTTGTTTTTTTTTTTATTTGCACAGTGAACCACACATTCTTAATGTCTTGTCATAGCTATTCCACCCATTTACACATTGACAACTATACTTCTGTTTTTTTTTTATATTTGTCCTTACATGTGCTTCTTTTTCTTAAACATACCAGTTCTTCTAAACTCATATGAGTCTCTCTAATTTTAAACATCTTCCGAATACAGTTAGGAAGTAAATTATTTTGTGCTTTATACATTATCTGTGCAGTATTAAAGTAAATTAGATTAGGAAGTTTTAGGTAACACAAGGTATGTTGGGAGTTTTATAGTGAATATTATTGGTTTGTTCGCATAATAACTCTCTGCTTTACCTAGTTAGCCTACTTTGATGAGGTCAAATATATAGTCCAGTTACAGATAATATAAAATATGGACCAGATATGTTGTTGTTTAGCCTTTACAGCATAAATTCTGTTTCTGTGTGTATCTTGTGAGTAAAAAATCACTTGCTTCTCACTGGATTCTTCCTTTTCTTTATATAAACTCACATCAGATACTAGTATTTCTTGTTTTATTGGTTGTTCATACAGATCAAAGCTGAGGCTTGATTTCTTTCTTAAGACGTACGCGAGGCAAAGCGCCGGTTAGCAGGCCAGCCTGATAGTATCTGCGTTACAATCACTTTTGGTATAAATAGCCCGACGGTCATGTTATCATTCAAATAAATTTGTGTGCAAGTAAAGTAAATTACTATAAATACTGGTATCTGATGAAAATTGGAAATGTTCCGGTGATGTGCTCTTCTGCCATGGTCTGCCAATTCAGGTTCAGCTCCACAAGTTCAGGTTCAGTTTCTGGTGACACTGATTTAACTCCTAAATTCCTACCCATGTTTTAGATTTCATCTCACTGGTTTAGTCTAACATGTTGCAAAACATTTCTCCATAACTCCACACCACAGGTGGCAGCAATACGCCAACTGACATTCAAACTGCCATAAAGCCTAAGAAGAAGAAAAAGTTCAACACAAAGAGGAGATGAAGAGAAGAATGTTCCCTGGATGAAAACAAGAAAAGGTGGGTTTTGCTGGGAGAACAGAGATACTATCAAACACTGTAAAAGAGTTTTGCTTTAAATAATTAGTTTTTTTCAGGCTCTTCTTCTAGGTGTTCACCAACTATGAGTTGATTTGATAAGTGGCATTTGTGTAGTCTATAGTGAATGCATTAAAATAATTTATTTTATATTTACCAAATATTTCTCCAGAAGGCTGTAGGTCTGTTTAATCTATCTGTCATAGGCAGTACTCATTTGGTGAAATATACCTATAACAGGGAGTTATAATTGTTAAAAAAAAATCTTGTGTCAAACAAGGCAGGTCTAGATATTCAATCTCAACTAAAATTCGAGTTTAGTGTTGGTATTGTCTTTTCTATAGGCTTCATATATTTGCCTTTTAAATCATTTTGGTTTTGTATGGCCAGAATAAACATAAATATAGTTTTGAAATGTATCATCATAAACTTTAGCTGCTCCTCAGGCATGAGCTAAATATGTAAACAATGTACAAAACAAACCTAAATAACTTACTGGGGAAACAAAACTTAGTCATCTGCCTACACAAAAAAAAGGGGACATTTATGGTATGAATACCTAATATGCCAATATATAACACATGTATTATTGATCTCTTACAGACAGTTAAGTTAGAGCTCTACACAGAAAGAGAAGGTTTAGCTAGTTTGGTTTGATTGGTGGGAGGGCAGATGGAAAAAAGGCGCGAAAATGGAGCAGCCAATCATGTTCATGCTCGTTTTCCACCTTCTTACAAAGTAGAGCGCCCTCTGCTGGCAGGCACCAAACATTAACACCCTTAAGGAAACATGTAGTGAAGAAAAGCAGGAGACAGATATAGGAGTTGTTGAATGTAATAAGTTAATGTAATTTAAGAAGCATATTTTGGGTCAAAATATATGAGCCCCTATGGTGACATGGTTTTATAATAAGGCATGGCAACAAATTCATATATTACGGCCACATGGCCACAAGAAACTTGGCTCAACATCTCAACATATTAACTTGTGGCCTCAATATAAGTAATTTGTGGCCTCAGTATATTATATTGTGGCCATAATATGTTAACTCGTGGCCACAAGAAACTTAACTTGTGGCCTCATTATATTAATTTATGGCCTCAATATATTAACGTGAGACTTTAATATATTAACTTTTAATCTAAATATAGTAATTTATGGCCTTAATATAGTGAGTCGTGGCTGCAACTTATTAAAAAACATTGTCACCTTAAAATACCAGTTTTATTGTGATTTTAGTCTTCAAATAAATAAAAAGATATTAAACAATTAGTAAAATATTTCATGTATTCAACTGAAGCTACACTGAACAAATGTTAAATGACAATTAAACAAACACATTTGCTGAAACAAAACACACAGTGTGAGGAGATTGTCCCTGGATTCAAAGAGAATCAAAGCAAATATATTCAGTATTTTTGCATGTTCTTACTATGACACCAATAACTAACGTGTTTTGGGTTAGACTTTTAAAGCAATTTCAAAATGATGTTCCATTTAAAAATAGTCTGTCCAAGCTAATGTAAAAGACTCTGCACCCTTACAGAAAAGCCACATACATTTCACACGTTAAGTGCACAAATGCACTGCTCATTCACATGCGAAAGTTCTGCAACTTTTTTTTAGAAATGCAGTGCCTGTACTTACAGTAACATCGTTGGTCAGAACTGAACTGAAATCTGCCCCATGTTTGTCTGTCTTAGGTGGTGGAATTAAGCCTCTGTGTTGAATTGCCCAGACTGTCAGTGCAGAGTTCAACTCTTTGACCCAGGTTAACATGGCAGATCCACCAAAATATCCTGCAGACGTCCCTCACGCGTCCGCCATTACAGCCTCCAACGGTTCTTCTGTTATTTCACCCCAAGTCATAGACTGTCACATCGAGGGACCAGTCAGCAATAACATAAATGTATATATATGTGGTATGTGTCCTGATCTTATGACTTTTCCATTCCTTTAGTTTTGTGAAAAATATTTCTTTAGTTTGATTTAAAAATGAAAACTGTGATGCTACAGCCATCTAGTGGCACTTCGAAAAGATGCAGTAGAGTTTCACAGGACGTGGAGGAAGCCTGTGTTTGCCTTCACCCTCCTAGCGCTGGTGGTATTGTGTGTTTGGCGGAGTCCTAACTAGTGGGTGGGATTGGAGGTGTCTAAATTGGGGAGAAAATGGGAAAAAAAAATTTGAATAAAAACTAGCGTTTCTTTTTTTCTTCCAGGTGAGAGAGAAACAAGTTCTCCCACAAGTCCAACCTCTGGTGAGTGAATAATGAAACACACGTATAGTGAGTGAAGGTGTTTGTTTGCTTCTTGTTAAGTTAATTTACTCGTTTATATTTCACAGAGCTTGTTTTTTTAGCAGGTTCTGTAATTAATGTGTTCCCTTTTCTGCTGTTTAGAAACTTGTAATGGGTGGAAATACAAATTATGAAATATGTGGCCACAGAATCTGTCCATTCACACTCCTTGTTACTTTACGAATTAAAGATGATCAGCATTTGTGAACTAAACATAATAACCACAAGAGGGCAGACTGGGCTTCGTTGTCCTTGTTTAAATCCTGGGCCTGAGGGAAGATTACTAATCTACAGCATGCATCAACAGTCATACACAATAATCACTTTTATCTCTAATTTTAAGCAAAAAAATGATTTATGCAAAAACAAATCCCAGCAGCTTATGTGCAGTGGGATCCTTCCACATGTAGATTTTATAGATGTACATTGAATCAATGAAGGAGTGCATACAGTGTGGAATTAACATCTACAGATGAAACACTGTAGGAGTGACTCCAACATTGTGGGGATATTACTGTTCAGCGGTGTGAACGTTTTATAATTAAATGATAACTAAATAATAATTAGAATAATAACTAAATAATAACAAAGAAAGAACGAAATAATAAACAACAATAATAAACAAAATAAATAATGGAAGGAATTATTACAAAAGGCATTTAGAGATTAGATTTTCATTATATTATTATAAAGCTGACAGCCATGTGTGTGGAAGTGGTCATGTGTAATATATGTAGTATGTGATACAGTACAGTTGTATGTGAAAGTTTGGGCAGCTCTGGTGAAATTACCCATTTTTTCGATTTTTTGAAGTGATAAAAAGTTCACATTGCCTCTGCATGGAACAGATTTTAAATGCACAGTTATTATTTATTTGCTGTGGAGTGTGCAAACATTTCAACACCTTTCTGTTGCTGCACTAGTGTTATTGCTTTAAGAGCTTGTTAAAATTGTTGCAAAGAAATATCTAGATAAATTAGATAGAATCTAGTTTTTAGAATCAAGTGCTGTGGACTGATGAAACAAAAATGGAACTCTTTGGCTGTAAAGGTATTGTCACATGGGTCTCAGGAGAAACTTAGTTGACTCAAGGTTCTGGTCCATGACTCAGCTTTGCTTGGAACTCTGCACAACAAACAGAATACCAGGAAAATGGCAGTTCAATCTCAGGCTAGCTCACAGCTATAACGATTGCATAAAGTATAAATATAAAAGTAGCAGCATTTGATGAAAAGAACACCTTGCCCACTGTTGAGCATGGGGGTGGAGCTATTATGCTTTGGATTTGTGTGGTGCCAGTGATACAGGATATGTGGTGCGGATAGAAGGATGAAAGGATTCTATTAAATATCAACCAATCCTAGAAGCTAATGTCCCACAGCTGGATATGAAACTGAAGATCAAAAGAGGTTGAACATTCCAACAAAACCTTGAATTACTTTGGTTAACAAAAGATTACAGTTCTGAAATGGCCTTCGCCATCCCCAGCATCAGTGGAATTCAATTTTCATTGAAGGTCTCAAACATGTTGTGCATGCAAGACAGCCTTTGAATATGTTTCAACTGTTCTGCAGGAAAAAATAGGAAAAATCTTAAATCAAGAAAAGAAAGAAAGTTAAATGACTACAAGAAACATTTTGTGGCTGCAATTCCAGCCAAAGGGAGTCTTAAGGACTGACTGAAATGGTGCCCAAACTTTTGCACATTATAAATTTTGTTGTTGTTTTCAATATGTTAAAGTCAGCAAATAGATAGCAATTGTACATTAAAATCTGAATAAATGTATCATATTTAAGTTTCATGCAGAAGTGGCAGTGAACGTTTTTCACTGAAAATCAACAAAATGTGTATTTTGACCAGGTGTTTTGCTGTATCTGACCGAATCAAAAGATTCAAAGGAAAGGAAGAAATGATAAAAATGTTCTAACAAAGGAAAGAAATGGTGCTTAGTTTTTCAAATTTGGTTCAATTAATTTTTATCAATGACAGATCCAGAACGTTTGCAACTGGTGCAGGCCGAATTCAAGGAGAACTTGAGACAGAAGCTTGAAACCATCTTGGAAGCGATTGCAAAAAGGAGCAACATGACTCTCCTTGAGTGGATTCATCCAAATCTCTACATCTCAGAAGAACAGAGTAATGGACTATTTACAGAAAATGAAATATGGAGAATTGACAAAGACAAGGCAATCAGCTGCAATGATCTCTTCAAAGAGTTGCCAGATCAAAAGGTTGTACTCACAACAGGAATTGCTGGCACTGGAAAAACAGTGTGCGTGCAAAAGTTTGTTCTGGACTGGGCCATGGGAACAGCCAACCAGGACGTGGATTTCATGTTTGTGCTTCCATTCTCAGAGTTAAACTTGCTTACAGATGATGAGCACAGTCTTCATTCGCTTTTATGTCACTTCCATCCTGAGCTAAAGGTCCTGGATCCGAAGGTGTATGAGCAGTGCAAAGTTGTATTCATCTTTGATGGCCTGAATGAAAGCAAACTTGATCTTGATCTGAAATCCAGGAGTGAGGTTGACTCCAACACTGAGGAAGAGACAGTTACATCAGTGGATACACTGATATCTGACCTCATAAAGGGTGAACTGGCTACCTCAGCGCTCATTTGGATAACCTCCCGACCAGCAGAAGCCAACCAGCTTCAATGCAGGCCTACTGACCTTGTGACAGATCTTCAGGGATTCAGTGATGCACAGATAGAAGAGTACTTCAAAAAGAAAATCTGTGGATGTGATAAAGCCAATAGAATCATCTCGCACATCAGAGCCACATGGACCCTGCACACCATGTGCCATCTACCGGTCTTCTGTTGGATCACAGCCACGGCTCTGGAGAGAGTGTATGATGATTGTAAAAGTGATGACCTCCCTAAAACTCTGACTGAAGTACTGACCTGCTATCTGATGCAAAGAAACCAGACGTTAAAAACAGGCAGGCTGTCAGAAGCAGACGTGGAGCTTTTTAATGCACTAGGAGAGATGGCCTTCAAACATCCAAGGGACAACTCTGTGCTGACAGAGGACGATTTTCGAGAGCATGGCATTGAATCTGGAGATGAAGCAATGCAATCAGAACTGCTTGCTCACATCTTAGAGGTCAGCCCAAATTCTTCACCTTCCAAGACATACAGATTTCTGCATTCAAGCATTCAGGCCTATCTTGCTGCACTTTCTGTTCTACGTTCATATAGCAGTTATAGCATAACTGTGCTAAAACCAGGAATACCATGGTTTCCAAAACAGGAAGCAACATCAGACAGTGAAAGTTCTGAATATGAAGACCAAGAAACCTGGGCAAGAAAACAGCATCAGGGAACACTGTGGGAGCTGCTGCAGGTTGCCGTGGACAATTCTTTGGTCAATGTTAAACTACAGCTGAACAAAAGCTCTGATAGACACCTGAAACATTTCCTCCCCTTTCTTCTTGGCCTGGCATTTAACTGTGGTCAGATGCTGCTGGCTCAGCTCATAGGGGATAATAAACAGGACCAGGACAGCATCCAGCAGGCCATAATATATATCAAACGTTTACTTAAGACTAAGAAGAAACAGCTCAATCATGATCAGAGCATAAATTTGCTCCGCTGCCTGGCTGAACTGAAAGATTACTCTTTTGAAAAGGAGATGCGAATGTTCATGTCATCATGTGGCAGTGCTGAAGGACGACTCTCCATTGCACAGTGCTCAGTGCTGGCCCACCTGGTCCAGGTATCAGGAACTGTGCTGGATGACCTGGATGTTTTGAGAATGTGCTCATCATCTCACGGTCAATGGAAGCTTGTATCAGTTGTGAGAAACTGCAGAAAAGCTTGGTGAGAACTATTACTTTGATCCTTTAAGTGCATTTACAGTAAAACTGCATGCTAAGCTATAAACTAGCCTTTCTACACTCTATTATACAGTTGTTAAGCATGTATTAAATGACATATAGTTCATATATATATGAACTGTGTTCATGTTTATCAGTATAAGGCCCTGGCAAGCCATAGCTGTGGTTTCTGCCCTCTTCTCAACAAATTCACACCTGGAAAAGCTGGAATTCAGTCATGGTATGATTGTGGATTGTAAACGTCTTATTGAAGCTATAAAGGCTCCAGTCTTCAAACTTAAAGAACTTCATTTTACTCACATTGAGAGGTGCATTTCCAGAGACTCCAGTGACCTACCACTGTGGGTAAGTCATACTGTTGGGATTGTTGTTCCAAATTGTGCATAGTTAGGCACCAAAATGACAAATTTCCCTTTTAGGACCAATAAAGTACATAATACATTGGGAGAACCATTGTTAGATCTTTACAGTTTCTATTCACGAAATCTGTACTTCAAATGAACTTTTACAGTGGTGTAATTAGAACAACCGTCCTTAATCTGTGATTAGAAGCATACTTTTATGTTATTTCCTTTTAGTTGATATATTCTACAAACTTGAGGCAGAAGCAGGTAAGGATTGTGTTTTTGTACAAGCAGTTTTGTGTTTCGGCATTTTTGTGATTTGGTACCAAAAACTGGACTTACCTAATTAGGAGAAATTGTATACATGAGATGTTCCTGTGATTCAACTGGTGGAGTAAGATACTGGGAGTGGCAAAATTATGGGTTCATTTTCCATATAAGCCAGACAATGAAAAAACTATGTAGATGTGCTTTGCAGTATGTTTTTCTGTCTGCTTTTTTCTATCAAATTTATAGCTCAACTGTAAATTATATAATGGATTAGAAAGCATGAAAAAACATAAGGAATGGCTATGAAATGCATTTTTGACTTTCTTTAGTGTATGGCGGAGCAAGAATTCTGGGTAGAACTCATACACACTACTCTGTTGGGCCAACATGGTCAGCCACACTCTTTTACGTAAGTATGAAGTTGATAAAGACATTTTTTTTAAAGTTTTTCCTTAAGAACTTAGTGGTACAGTTGCTCAGAGATGCTTTGCCATGCAGGACAATCAAATTACTATTTAGGTAAAATGTCATGGGGGCAAAGTTGGGTCTTTGCATAGGCATTTGTAAACTTAAGAAACTGAAAACGCATCATTTCTTAAAGCTAATTGTCTTTTTCCAATCAGAAAATGTGTATATACATATAAATACTGTAACCAAGGAGTGAGTTAAGTGGAAAAAAATGCTGCCAGAATATGAGCTAGAAGATATATGCTCTGATAAATTATAATGCTCATGTTTTCCATTAAAAGTTGTTACTTTACGGCTAATCCAAAAATCTTTCTAAATAGATGACTGTTAAGAATTGTTATTTATTGAATAAAGCATACATTTTATAATAAAAAAACAAACAATATCTAACATTGTACGTTACCATTTTCAGTAACATATTGCAACACTACTATGCAGAAGTCTGAGACCACTTATTTAATTTCCTGTCAAAATGATCATTCGGTACAAGTTACCATATTTCAGTGTCAGAAAAAAACTGAAAAACAAAAAACTACACAATAGCATTTAGCACTCAGCATAATATCATATGTTTCAGTGTTTAATTTGTGCACTTTGTGTGTTAATTTGTGTGTGTCTATTGTGACAACTCTTCTATCATTTCAATCTTGAACTCAACCAGTACCATGTGTGTCCTCTGAACAAAAGCTGCTCCCAAAGGAGTCACTGACATTCTCCTTTTATGGAAACACTAACTTTCACACAAGACACTACCTAAATTAGGTAGAAAGGAGAAAGTCAAAGGAACATAAGTGGCAAAAACACGTGTTCCAAAACTTTGATTAAAGGCTACAGAGAAAATGTGACTCCTAACAACTTACCTGGAAGACCTATAGGCCACTAAAACAATCACCATCAGATACACAGCACTTAAAGCTTTCATCTTTGAGAGAGAGGAGAAAATTAATCTCCACTCTTGCTTGTGTAGCTGTCAAGAAGCCCTCACTGAGAAAAGGAAACAGACACATTGTAATGTGCCAGAATGTTTCAGATGTTTACGGATGAACAAAGAGAAAAAAGCTTTACTTGTTGAATCATGATCCAAAATCATAGTCAAACAACAAGCATAAGTCAAATCCAAAAAAGACAATGTACAAAACAAACAAACATCACCAGGCAAACAGAGTCCAAAGGGCAAAGGCAAAAGGGGCAAAGTCCAAAAAACACAGAAAAGTAGTCAGATCCAGAAATAGTAATTACCAAAGTAAACACTCAGTAGCTCTTGAAAGATGCAATACCTCACAAGAACTAAACTAAAAGCCCAGGCTTTATACTAACTCTAACTAGGCAAATAACAACAAACAGTTGAAACTGATTAGTATTCAGGAGAGGCTGAAAGGTGACTGGAGTGGGGTGAAGGTCAGGATTCACATGATCTCCCAGAGGAGTCCATGGAGGTGTCCGAGCCAGAGGGATGCATGACACACATCAAACAAAAAAGCTGCTGGTGTTCTCAGAACAATGGACTGACCACCCCAGAGTCCAGACCTCAACATCACTGAATGTGTTTGGATTACCTCAGAAAGTATTTCTGGAATTCTCCAGTGCTTTTAACACCATACAGGCTAGGCTCCTGAGGGACAAGCTAGAGAACACAGGGCTGGATCACCGCCTATCAAATTGGATTCTTGACTACCTCACCAACTGACCATAGTATGTGAGGGCATGGGACTGTGTGTCTGACATGGTGTTCAGCAGCACAGGGGCCCCGCAGGGAACAGTCCTGGCACCGTTTCTCTTCGCCCTGTGCACTGAAGACTTGATGTACAGCTCACCAAACTGCCATCTACAGAACTTCTCTGATAACTCAGCAATCATCGGACTCATTACAGATGAGGACAACAGAAAGTACAGAGAACTGACCCAGGACTTTGTGGACTGGTGTCTGAGGAACAACCTCTTGATCAATGCGGAGAAGACCAAAGGCCAGGGCAGACTCTACCTGCTTAGGATTAGGAAACTGCGGTCATTTGGAGTGCACGGGGCACTCCTTAGGACCTTCTTTGACACAGTTGTAGCATCAGCCATCTCAACTGCGGACCAGAAGAGACTTGACAAATGCATTAAGAGGGCCAGCTCTAACCCTAACCCTAGACAGAATGATGTTTGCCAGACTAGTGTCCATGTTGGAGAACAGCTTCCACCCCATGACTGAGACTCTGGCAGCACTGAGCAGCTCCTTCAGTGACCGGCTGCTTCACCCCAAGTGTGTGAAGGAGCGCTATCGCAGGTCCTTCCTTCCTGCTGCTGTTAGACTGTACAATCAGCACTGCTCCCAGTAGAACCTCCTCCACCCCCCATTAGACCTCTCACACCTACAGCACATAAACTGTGGAATTCATTACTATTTCCTGTGTGCAGTATAATCAATATTATATATGTGCAATATTTTCAAAATATCTCTATAGTGTAAAGATTTTTTGCTTTTCTATTTATAGTGTTTGTATTGTTAACTTCTCACCATCACATGGGTAACAGGTCAGTACCTCATGTGCAATACTCTGTGAAATTCAGGTAAAATATCCTTACAGTGTAAATAATTTAGCTTTCATTCAGAATCTTTAATATTGTTAATTTTTGTGGATTGAGTTTTTATTTTTTATCTTATTGTTTACTTGTAGTATTACATATATTGTCATATATATGTAATACTACTATATATATATGTGTGTATATATGTATATATAGTCAATAACTTTATACAGTTATTTATACAAACTTTATACAAACATGTTTTCAGTACCTCAATGTGATAGATTATTTCTCTTTAAGGCTGAAGGACTGCAATCTCAGTGATGGCAGCTGTGAAATCCTGGCCTTAGCTCTGCAATCAACCAACTCAGGCTTGAAAGAGCTGGATCTCAGTTATAACAACCTGACAGACACTGGAGTTCAGAACATCTATCAGAAACTTGAACATTCAAAATGTGACCTGGAGAAGCTTAGGTGTGCCATAGTTTGAATTTTGAGGGGAAAAAATAGTTCTTATGCTCAAAAGTTATAGGTTAAATGTGAAGAACAGTTGCAAACAACACTGCTTTTCTCAGGGTTAGTTTTTTCTCCAGAAAATGGTCATTTTACTCTATAATCACAATTGTAGAAATACTAATTCAATAGAACAAAATGCAAACAGTTATTCAACTGCTTTAAAATATTATTATGAGATTATACTCATTAGGAATATAAACTGTAGAGCACTTTCAGAAAATTTCCTTTCTTTCTTCAGCTTAAGTTACTGCTGTGAAATCACAGAGAAATCCTGTGCAACATTGGCTAAGGTTCTCCATCGCTCATGCCTGAGAGAGCTGCATTTGGATGGCTGTAGATTTGGAGATTCTGGAATCAAACTTCTCAGTAGAGGAATGACTCGTCCAAACCAACTACAAATACTGTGGTGTGTACTTATGTGGTTGTTTTGCTTTTTTCAATACAACTGTTTTTATTTACTAATTATTCAGTTTGGTCAGGAAGCACATAACACATTGCAGTACCAACACTGACACTTCTTTAGTGCATATATCTGCTAGGGACACACTGTCATTATAGTTGGGTACAGGGATGATAAACTCCCTTCATTTCAAGCACTAAACTGCTCAAAAAATACAGTATTAAATGTACAAGGAAATCCAAAAATGCAACAGTCAGTAGTAAATGATATTCATGGAACATTGACATGAAGCATTTCCAGGATTTATGATTGTCATGTTCTGGATTTTCACTGTTAAAAACTGTAAAATGTAATGGTCAATACCTGTTTTTTATGTTAAATGCATGTAAGTAAAATACATATACCGTATTTTAATACTGTTGTCACTACATAAATAGAATATGAATTTACAAAGAATGGTTTAATGGTTGCTACTATTATTATGGTAAAACAATGTATGTCAGAATAACTAGTTGAACTACTGAAAGGCAGCATTTCTAAGAAATAAAATAACTGTAATTTTACAGATTTTTACCATCATTGAGAAAACACAATATTAGTGTTTGGTTATGGGTTTTGTCTGGCAATCTGCTGCCAAACTTTTTACTCTTTTTGTACAGTGTAGGGCAAGTAACATTGGTAAGCTAGCGACACTTACTAAAATGTCTGTTTCAATAAATATGTAATGTTTAAAATATCTTTTTTTCAGGTTGGGCCACTGTGGTCTAACTGGAGATAGTTGTGAAGCCCTGGTGTCAGCTCTCAGCTCAGATTCTTCAGCACTAAAACAGCTGGACCTCAGTAACAATGACCTGCAGGATTCAGGAGTGAAGCTGCTCTGTGTTGGACTGAAGAGCTCACATTGTAAACTGGAGATTCTAAGGTCATATTCATGTACCAGATCTCTGAATGTTGTCTGAATATATTTTCAGTAAATTGATTGCAATGTCATCAATACATAGGATTTGTGCCAATGAAATTACAAATGTTCTAGGATTTGGAATCAAACAAAGTGGTCACTCTTCACTCTTCAATTTGTATTTTCTGTTGTCATGTTCATTTATAAATGGCATGTTCATGTACATATACTACATTGTTTGATTATATGCTGAGCTGATCAGACTTCTTCTTTTTTTAATAGGATGTCTGGTTGCATGATTACAGAGGAAGGCTGTTCTTCTCTGGCTTCAGCTCTGACTTCAAACCCCTCCCACCTGAGAGAGCTGGATCTGAGCTACAATCATCCAGGAGAATCAGGAGAGAAGGTGCTCTCTGCTAGACTGGAGGACCCACACTGCAAACTGGAGACACTTAAGTATGTTGTAGATTTATGGCTGTAGGTGAGAGTGAGAGGTTATCTGGGCAAAAGTTTATTTAAATTTGTGTTGTTGTCTCTCATGTTAACTGCAGTCTAAAAAACTGTGGAGAGCACAGAATGAAACCAGGCATCAGAAAATGTAAGTATATTAATTAAATGCAGCAAACTTTCCTTACTTTTTTGTCCAAGTATTGAGGTTCTAGTACAGCCGGAACATTGGGCCTCATTCGGCAAACATTCTTAAGAAGACATTTCTTCTTAAAACCCACTTCCTCAGCTTTCACAAAGATTCTGACATTCATCACTGTTTTCTTATTTGGGATTTTTTCTTAGGTAAGACCAGAAACTACACACACGAGGGTGCCAACAGTACTGCGTTTAAGAACACGTCATTAACCCGACATAGACTTTTTCTTAGGACCTTTCTTAAGAACAAATTTAAGAAAAAACTTACCAAGATACTGGTGAATGAGGCCCATTGTTCTATACATCCCGTGATTCTTATTGCCATTATTTTTCCTTGCTAATTAGTTCACCCAGCTTTGGTCATTTGCAAAAATATGGTGTGACACTAACTATATGTTCTTGAGATCAAAGCAGGCATTGTGAATTGGATTGTATACAAAAGTCCATTCTTCTTGTGGGGCAAGATACTTCAAACCTTTCCACTGAACTAGCAGCCAGCATAGTGGAACTCTGTGGCATTTTGGATAAACCGGGACATGTTTACGCAACTACTAGAGCATCCAAGTATCAAGGCATTACATTAGTCCAACCTGAATGGGATCACATCAAGTTAGCAGCTGTAATTTAGTGTAGTGTGTTGATACATTTGTGAGTTGTGGGTTATTAGCATTGCAATGGAAGCTAATGTGAGTTATGGGTTATTAGTACAGCAATGAAAGCTAATCTAAGTTGTGGGTTATTCATACAACGATGGAAGCTAATTTGAGTTGTGGGTTATTAGCAAAGCAATGGAAGCTAATTTGAATTGTGGGTTATTAGCATAGCAGTGGAAGCTAATTTGAGTTGTAGTTTATTAACATAGCAATGAAAGCCAATGTGAGTTGTGGGTTATTAGTACAGCAATGAAAGCTAATCTAAGTTATGGGTTATTAGTATAGCAATAGAAGCTAATATGAAGTGTTGTTTATTAGCATAGCAATGGAAGTTAATTTGAGTTGTAGGTTTTTAGTATAGCAATGAAAGCTATTGTAAGTTGTGGGTTATTTATATAGCAGTGGAAACTGATGGCATGCTTATGCATAAATGCACTTCATGGTAATAAATTGAAAATAAAGGTGGTAACACATTGATTGTGGCATGAATAAACGGTACAAAAACACACAATATTCGAACACAAATTTGGGTTCGATTCCCCGGCCAGGCAACCAGGGTCGTTTCTGTGTGGAGTTTGCCTGTTCTCCCCGTGTCTGCGTGTGTTTCCTCCAGGTACTCCGGTTTCCTCCCACAGTCCAAAGACATGCATTCAGGCCAACTGGACATGCTAAATTGCCCCTAGGAGTGAGTGTGTGAGTGAATGTGTATGTCTGTCTGTCTGCCCTGCGATGGACTGGCGACCTGTCTAGAGTGTATCCTTTCTTCCACTGGGTTAGGCTCCAGCACCCAACGCGACCCAGAAGGAGAAGCAGCTTAGAAGATGTGTGTGTGTGTGTCTGTGTGTGTGTTTGTAATGCAAAAAAAAAATGTCACAAAACTGGCTACATTCCATTTTGGAAAACCAAAAAGAGCATGGAGAGTTTCACCCTCTTATTCAGCAGCTAGAACATTAGGAAAGATTTCACATATTGCTGTGATTTCTGTAACTCAGTTTTAGCCCCAGATGAGCTGCTTTTGGAGATGCTAACAGAAAGTAAAGGGCAAAATAATCCTTCTGACATTTGTCAAAACGTTCCAGTTGCTGGGACACAGCTGCTTCAGTTGTTGTCACCATGCCAACACCAGAGAAAATCATGAAAGATTTGCAAATATCAGACTGAGAATGAATAGCATAATATTGCCTTTTCACCATCCAATAAATTGTGCCTTCTGTTTTACATTTATAGCATTTGGCTGACCCTCTTATCCACAGTAACTTACAATTTAATCATTTTTTACACAGGTAGGCAAAGGTGGTGTTCAAACATAGTGTTAGGAAACTTGCCTAAGGACTCTTATTAGTATAGCATAGGGTGCTTGCCCAGGCATTGGATCAAACCCCAGTCTGTCAGGCAGTGGTGTCACCCACTACACTACACCAACCACATTCATTTTACTCATTTTTATTTATTTTACAGATGGCTCTTACTTTGCAAAGTGGGAACTGTCATGTGAGGACGATGTTCAGAAGTGGGAAGGACATCTTGTTGACAGTGGCTTTTGTGGTGAGCAGGGGAAATTCTACTGGCAAGTTGAATGGACATCAGAAATTGATTTTGGAATGAAGTACAAAAGCGTCAATGGGTGTTACACTTTTGACCAAAACCGTTCTGAAATACCTTTAAGGATCGATCCTAAGAAACCATATATGGTTGTTGATCTTTATGCACCCGCCCTCCCCCAGACAGTGGGAATCTATCTGGACTGGCCAGCTGGCACCCTGTCCTTCTACAGAATTCTGTCTGATCAGGTTCAGAAACCGATTCCAAAATCAGATCAACTGACACATCTGTACACATTTCACCACAGATTCAGGAAGCCCCTTTATCCATATGTAAAATTACAAAAGACATCTGCCATGGTCTCAGTCCAGTCCCTAGAGCCATTCTCTCCAAACTGAAGCGAGGAAGCTAGGCATGGCTTTGGACTTTAAACCACACATCAGTAAGACAGATTTTTGTTTCTCAGGAATGTAGGTAGCCTTAGACCTGGCCTCCCACTGATAGATGCCTAATGTTTCTACTTTAATGTGTTTTTTGTACTGGACTAACATCCTTAGATCATTAACTAGTACTAAACACGACTATTACACCAAGGATTACTGTATTTGTGTGCTATTGATTTTAATAGATCTGCAAAGTGTGATGTGGTTTGGCACCTTTATATCTGTATGTTTGGTGTTTGTCTTGAATAGGATGTGATTTAAGATTAAGTTATTTCACAAACAAAACGACAGATCTGGGGAAACTAAACTTTTTGTTCATATTGCTATAATGTATCAGGCCTCAACAGGCAGTAACTCACGTATGTACTTATACATGTATTTCACAAGCTTTATTTGATTTACTGTAATTTGTGTTGTTTTCACAGCTGTTACAAACAATTTATTTTTGCATACATACAAAATTAAGAAGGTTTTTCATTGTCCTGTAAAGATTTTTTTTAGAGAAACATGGTATTGTTCCGACAGTGACTATATATACACATACAGTATATTTTACATTCATCTCAATTCATTTTATTACATTTTGTTACAATGCTTTGTTTTTTTTACCAGCATCCTTAATGTTTTAGAAGTTTTTGTACTATTATCAATGACAGTGTGTGTTAGACAGTTTCCTCTAAGCAGCTGCTTAATTGACAAGTTGCAAATAAACATTATGCATTAACATACACAGATCATGTATTTGCTTTTTTCATTCACTCACTGATTTTAAAAACAAAAATATAGCGCACAAACAAACAACACTGTTTCTGTGATGAAAGAAGCAGTGCGGGAACAGGTAATACCTGAATAAATTCTTCAGTTTAAAAGCTTGGAATCATTTTTTTATATAACCCCAAAAAAGTTGGGACACTGTGCAGAATGTAAATAAATAAAGTACAATTCAGTGATATGCAAATCATTTAAACCATATTTTTAAAGGAAAATACTGTCAAGTGACAAGTCTGGACTGCAGCATATGATGCCAAAACATGTATATATCGTTCAGCATTAATGATGCCTTCACAGATGTGCACGTCATCTATGCCATGTGCACTAATGCACCCCTATACCATCATGAATACTGTTTTTTGAACTGTGCACTGATTACAAGCTGAGTGTCTTTAGTCTGGAGGACACATTGTCCATGATTTCCAAAAAAATTTTCAAATGTTGATTTGTCAGACCACAGAACACTTTTCCACTTCCACTCAGTCCATTTTGAATGAGCTCGGGCCCAGAGAAGGTGGCAGCATTTCTTCATCCTGTTTATATCTGGTTTCTTCTGGTGGTGAACCTCCTCATCTCCTCATCTTTACTTCTGAAAGACTCAGCCTCTCTGAGATGCTTTCTAATATCCAATCATGTTACTGACCTGTTGCCAATCAACCACCAGGGTTTTTTTTAGCATTACACAACTTTACCAGCCTTTTGTTGCCACCGCCCCAACTTTTTTAGAACTTGTTGTTGTTGGCATCAAATTCAAAATGGGCATATATTTTTCAAAAAACAATATTTCTCAGTTTCAACATTTGATTTGTTGTCTTTGAAGTGTTTTCAATGAAATATAGGGTTTCAGTGATTTGCACATCATTGCATTTTGTTTTTATTTGCATTTTGCACAGCATCCCAGCTTTTTTTGGGAAAATGGGGTTGTATTAATAATTGGTTTTATTAAGTTTATAATTTATGCATGTAGATTTTAGATATTTAACATTTAAAAATGAGTCATGTAATAAAAAATATTACTTTAATGATCTAATTATCTTTCTCAAGGTTTGATCACTTTTCAAATATGAGGCATTCTGGATGTTAATTTTCAACTTCATGCTTGATGTCCTACAGCAATGGTCACCAATGCTGGACCTTGAGATCTACCTTCCTGTGAACTGCAGTTTGAACCCCAATCTGCCACACCTGCTACTCCCATATAGAAATCTGATCTAGAGCAATGTATAGATTACAGTCCATTACAGCGACCACATTACTGCTGCCACCTGTAAGTAGGTAAGTGTTTTAAGTATGGTACAATGTGCTATCTAAGCTTATCTGGCCAACAGCTCGTCACAGTATTCATAGAATTTGATTGCATCATTAAAAAGACCCTGTCACCATTTTGGTAGGCGAGCCGTACACACTAAACAACGCAAGGACGGAGGAGTAGACACAGATGCATGCAGATCTTGTCTGTCTTGAAGGCGTGTACACAGCTGGAGCAGGGTGGAGTTCGTACAGTTTGAAATCCAGCAGGAAACAGAACCAGAACCAGAAAAGAAGAAATATGGACCTTCAAAAGAAATTTTTGATGATGGTCACATACAGAGCCAAGCAGACAACAGCCACAAAGACAAAAAAGTCATATAGAACAGAACAGTGTTGCTACCGATTAGCCTGTCCTCCATCTTGGATTTTCAATCGTCATATGCCTGTGCCCGCCCATCCATGCTTCTATTAGTTGATGTGCCTCCATGTCAGAATCTGTTGTTAAAATGGCTTGAACTTTTTCAACGCTCAATGGAGCATGTTTCACTGCATACAGGCACGTTTCCAGTCCGACAGAGCTAATGCAGCGTCCTAATGAAATACACTGGGGGACTGCGTTTCTGACACTGTGTCAGTCTCTAATGTGTAGGCACCTTAACTCTGACTGTGAGCAAAATAGAATGACCACGAAAAACATAAAGTTACGTGGACGTGTAACCCCGCGGTAATTCAGTCAGGCTTAGTATTGTTCATTAAGTAGGTGCTGGCCCTTAAGAAATTTACTGCAGTTTCACTTCCTGCTGACACAGTCCCTGGTTCAGATTTTTAGGTTTTAGTGTGAGGAGAGGAGAGGAGCCAGCTCCAGATACCTTCCTAGATTTTTTTCCGTTTACTGATATTCCTGCTAGGTGAGCATTCTCTGCATCTGTGTGCACCCCAGTGCACACTTATTAAGCGTTGTATTAGTTTTCAACACTAAAGCTTGTTTAACAATATTTGGACACTTCATATTTTTACTCATATATGCTTGTTGCTTCAACACTAATAAGCCTAAAGATTGATTGAGTTTGGTTTAGCAAGAGGAGAGGACAGGACAGATAGACCGCAGCCAGCTCCAGATACCTTCTACCTTTAATTCTGTTTACTGGTTCTCCTGCTAGATTGGTGCCGTGCTTCCTGGATCCGCATTAGGCTGGGCTTTCCCTACACAACTTTTAAAATCTTAACAGATTTCTAAAACAGAGAGCATCACAAACTTAACCTCAGTTTGTCACAGAATTTCTTGTCTTTTTGTCATGAAACTGTAAAGACAGTGACCTGATATGGATCAATGTTATAATCATGATATCGGCTCATATCTGTGTGTGTGTTTACACACAGCTCCTCTGACTCTTCTGTGCTGTTCATGCACATCTCCGTTCTTCCAGCTCTCTGATTGGCTGTTTGAATCACTCTTTGAGTTAATCTCTGATCGTCTCACACTGCAGGACTCGTGAACGTTTTTAGTCGTAAATATTGAACGTTTGATAATCTCGGAGGGCCTCTGTTCACCCCAGAGTTCAGTTGTATGGCTAAAGATTCACTCTTCGCTCCTCTCACTGGAATGATGAGAGAGCGAAAGAGAGATCGATCGACCAATTGATCAGTCGACCTCTGGATCTGTCCTTACACTGACCTGGATCACTTACCCTGATAGCAAGAGGACAGTGGACCACTGATGGCAAAGCTGGTGGTCCACTGGCCTTTTGCTCAGCGTTTTCCTGGCGGCCCACCAGTGTTTAAGCAGAGTATTAGACAAAATTCCACTTATCCTCGCTTATTTTCCACTTATAGTCCAATTTACTGATTTTTCCTTCCTTCGTTTCTTTAGTTATACTTTAACAGTCAGTGGGATGCCGACCTTATCAAGCCAGCGGACCGATATATGCTGCTATCCAGGTAAGTACACATTTTTGACTTTTTTTTTATTTTTATTTTGGGTACCCAAATAACATTTTTTTTTACTCTTTTTATTTCTTGTTTCTTGGAGTAAGCCTTCACTGACTTTTTTCTTGAGTGGACATTTTGAACTGAAGCAATTATGTAACAGCAGCTGTTTTGAAAGTAAGCTAAAGTTCTCAGTGTTATAAAGCTCAAGGTTAAAGAGCACTGTTCCATATATCTCCCTAAGCATGGTCCACATTCCGGAAAAGTGAATTAATTATAGGGAAATTATACCTTCAGTTCTTACTGTTTATTTTATTTGTCATACTCTCTAATTACTCTGTTACTCTAATTGCTATTACTGCAAAATTACGATACGTTCCAGTCCAGTAAAAATTTAATTTTATTGGATAGAGGTAGTAAACTTCTACCAGACCCTAAATATATTCTCCACTCAGTACAAGCTAATGGTGGTCTTCTAATTTGAGCAGAACATTTAATGCCTGGTTTCAGACCCTTTAGATGCGTCTCCAGAAAATGCTACAGGGAGAAGATAAGCTAAATTGATGGACTGGATCCATATAACCTGCATGTCTCCAGAGTTCAGAGCATTCCAATGCATGAGATTTTACAAAAACTGATAAAAGTGGCCATCAAAACTGCCAAAGCTCTAAAATAGTACATTCATACACAGCTGAAGATTCTTATTTGCCAGCTCCTTATGCAAACTTCCCATTCGACCTTAAATGGTGCTGCAGCTACATTTAAGGTGTCTTCAAACAAGAAGCTAGCAAATATGAAGCCAACATTAATATACCTTAATAAACACATTAATTTACCTCAATAAATGCTCTGTAATCAGGAAACATCTCAAACATTTTCTCATGGAGATGTTTAATGATCAGCTAACGAGCAGCTCAGTAGAGCTGTAATCATCCACTGGAGCTGCTGGACTGTTGAACACATCTCACTGGCTGATCTAACATTGCATCCCAAACCACACACTTCTGTGCTTCACCTGCTACACTAATGAGTGCACTTCTAAGGATATCTAGGATATGCACTATTTTTGCATAGTATTCAGTGAGCTAGTATGTGGTTTGGGATGCTGCAGAAGTAATGCAGCAGGAAATCTCAGCCATTTAGATTGTAGCTTTTAATTGTTATCTACTACAGCATCACATCAAATTAAATAAAATAATGTGCTTTAGAACTAGTTTTAAACTGAGTGATGCAAAAAAACATTTTACTGCCTTTGCTGGATCAGTTATGGCTTTGTTATCTCATAACAAACTGCCACTGTGCTCCAGAGTGAACTTCAAGTTGCCTACCAAAACAGTGGCAGCGCAATTGTATGACAAAATATGAATACCCACTACAACTAGACTACACCACTGGCTGTAATGAAGCTTCATTTGGGTCATGTGACTTGGCCACCTCTAGGCACTGTTTTCACTTGGCGATGTCGCAAATGTTTCAATGTTTCTGTTGCTTGCCCAATACAATTTTTATGTCCTGTGGCGGTTACTGACGTGACGTGCTATCATCGCACATAGTCTGCGAAGCTGCTGGGTTGCAAGCACATATAAAACACGGGACTTGACACACTCAAAATGGAGTGAAAAGTAACAGTTCATCAGTGCACAGTCACAATGCTACACTAACTTTTCTTCCTTGAGTGACCATTTTGAACTGAAGCAATCATCTAACAGCAGCTTATACTGTAAATTGTTAGTCATTTGTTTGCCTTTTTCATCTGGATTAGATTAGAATGGCAGAATCAGAAACATATGCCTACAGCTCTGTTGACTTTCTCATTCTGGCACATGTTAAGTTCTGTGTAAGTCTGATTATAGCCAGAGATAATGATTTATTGGAGTAACTCTTATGACCCACCTCCTGGACGGTTAAGGGGTTAATCAGGAGTGGCCTCCACTGTGAGTGTAACTTCATATGGAGTCAGGTGTTTGTGGAGGAACCGGTTTGGGAAAGGCTGTTGAAAGTAATTCTGCATTTGCTTCAGGGGGAGGTGGAGCCAAGATACACCTACACATATCAGTGGAACGATTAGAAAGGTAAGTAATATTTCGAATAACCTATGTGTATTTCGGAGACTTTGTTTAGTTATATCTTTATCTGTCATGTCAAAATGAAAGAAAGGTGTCAGGGCAACCAGGATGAGAAACCAGGATGTGCAGGAGCTGAAAGCAAATGTTTCCCATTTGTTTTCCAGACTACAGCAAAGTAAAAATTCTCCTTATACAGAAAAAAACAGCAAAATTTCTCCTTAAATAACACATTCCAAATATCATACATGTGATCATCTCTCAATTGTACGTGTGGAGGATAGTTCTAGTGATTCTAGTGAACTGTTGAGTTTTTTATGTGGGCGGGTCAAATACTGAAGACACATTTTCAGTTATCATTTAACCTGTTATACTTTTTATTTGAAAAAAGTAAACACTAAATATTAAATACACACATCCAAAGGCATGGGAGTGATTTTGGGGGGTGGTGGAGGTTGGGGGGAGTTATGGGATGTGGGTCAGAAATGAGAACACAAAAACGGAACATTCTGACATGCTTAAAGTTTATGCAGTGCTTTAAATACACCATCAATTTAATAAGCAGCAACTGTATGAATATATTGCTGAATTGCATTGCATAAAAATCTACATTAAAAAAAATCTGCATTTTGTATATCAAGCTAAATGCTAGTTAGCACTAGCAAACTGTGCGTACTCTACTGACAGCAATAAACCTTTTGGAGTAGTTATCACTGTATTACAACTTTGTTATTCAGTCCTTTCTATTTGCAACCAACACTGCATAACCAGGAAGTCACCACCTTATTTCACTGCGTGTGTTTTTGTTGTGGTACCATTTTAAGAAACAGTTGTGGCCTAAAACACTTTTGTTGTTTACCCCCCAAAAGCACACAAATAGGCCCAATACAAGTGTGTTTGGTTAATTATTACTTTCATTGTTCATTAACAATGAAAGTAATAATTAACCACAGAAATTATATTATAACATGCTAACATCTTTAAATTCAAATCATTACCATATTATAAACCTGAAATTCAAGTCATGAACAGCTTATTTTAGATTCAGACCAAAATTCAAATCATGAACAAATTTCAAATTTAGACCAGAATCTAAATAATAAACAGCTGGGCTGGCTGCAGGATTGTGGAGGGGGGGGCCCACTTTGCTGGCTAATGTACTGTAAAGTTAGAGGCTAACTAATGACAATGGCTACCACAATCTGTCAATTATATACATTTATTTTATAGAAATTTAAGCTAATTTTATTGCTGATGGTTGGATGTTTGGGATTCTTATAAGTTACAGATAATCTTCTCAGCATTCTAGATCCAGGGCTGTGTCTCATGATGCAGTAATTCTTTCTTACCCAGCAAACTTTAGGCTTTGTAGGATTTAACCGTGATGACAGACCCCAGATCGGCTATGTCTTGTTGTGAAAGTACAAGCCGAAACATAATATTAACACCACAAACAAATTCTCATCTTTAAGCTTTTTCACCCCAATGTGAGTAGCAGCCCTTGGCCTCAATGCAGAAGACAGTATGTGACAGAATAAGTGTCTCTAGCAGGTGCCCAATTTTTTTTATTTATTTATTATTTATTTATTTGTCAGCCTTTTCTTCTCACTCAAGAGTCTTGGACAACATAATGGTACAGTAATAACACAGAAGTTGTTAGGCGGCCTACTGGTGGCTGTGTGGCCCTAAGCAGCCACTTATGATGCTTATTAGGTAGAGCCAGCACTGACTAACAGAATATTTTACAATCAGACCAAAATTCACAACCTGAGCAGTTTATTTTAGATTTTGACTACAATTCAAGTCATGAAAAGTTTATTTCACAACCCCAATTAGGATGCTTTGCAAAATGTAAATAAAAACAAAATACGATTATGTGCAAATTATTTAAACCCTGCATTTCATTGAAAACGGCGGCATGGTGGCGCAGTGGGTAGCGCTGTCGCCTCACAGCAAGAATGGCCTGGGTTCGATTCCCGGCCAGGTGACCAGGGGCATTTCTGTGTGGAGTTTTCCTGTTCTCCCCGTGTCTGCGTGGGTTTCCTCCAGGTACTCCGGTTTCCTCCAACAGTCCAAAAACATGCAGTCAGGCCAATTGGACGTGCTAAAATTGCCCCTAGGTGTGAGTATGTGTGTGAATGTGTATGTCTGTCTGTCTGCCTTGCGATGGACTGGCGACCTGTCCAGGGTGTATCCTGCCTTCCGCCCAATGACAGCTGGGATAGGCTCCAGCACCCCACCGCGACCCAGAAGGATAAGCGGTTTAGATGATGGATGGATGGATGGATTTCATTGAAAACAGTACAAAGACAACAAATCAAATGTTCAAAGTGAGAAATTTTATTGTTTTTTGAAAAATATTTGCCCATTTTGAATTTGATGCCAACAACAACAAGTTCCAAAAAAGTTGGGCGGTGGCAACAAAAGGCTGGTAAAGTTGTGTAACGCTAAAAAAAACCCTGGTGGTTGATTGGCAACAGGTCAGTAACATGATTGGTTATAAAAGAGCATCTCAGAGAGGCTGAGTCTTTCAGAAGTAAAGATGAGGAGGGGTTCACCACTCTGTGAAAGACTGCACGATCAAATAGTGCAACAATTCCACACACGTGGAAAAGTGTCCTGTGGTCCGACAAATCAACATATAAAATTTTTTTTTGGAAATCATGGACACTGTGCCCTCCAGGCTAAAGACCACTCGGCTTGTTATCAGTGCACAGATCAAAAGCCAGTATTCATGATGGTATAGGGGGGCATTAGTGTACATGGCATGGGTGATGTGCTCATCTGTGAAGGCATCATTAATACTGAACGATATATACATGTTTTGGCAACATACGCTGCCATCCAGACAACGTCTTTTTCAGGGAGGGCCTTGATTATTTCAGCAAGACAATGTCAAACCACATTCTGCATGTATTACAGCAGCATTGCTCCATATTAAAAGAGTTTGGGTGCTAAACTGACCGGCCTGCAGTCCAAACATTATTAAATTAAAAATATGACAAATGAGCCCCCGAACTGCTCAGCAGCTGAAATCCTACGTCAAGCAAGAATTGGAAAACTTTTCACTTTCTACACTACGGCAGTGTCTCCTCAGTTCCCAAATGCTTACAGAGTGTTGTTGCCATCAAGTTCAAAATGGGCATACATTTTTCAAAAAACAATACAATTTCTCAGTTTTAGCATTTGATATGTGGTCTTTGAAGCATTTTCCTTTAAAACCTTTAGTATTTTCCTTTTAAACCTTTATGGTTTACTTGATTTACATATCATTGCATTCTATTTTTATTTACATTCTGCACAGCGTCCCAACATTTTTGGAAATGGAGTTGTATGTTCAGACCAAAATACAAGGCACTAACAGGTTATTTTAGACTGAGACCAAAATTCTAATTATGAGCAGATTATTTTAGATTGAAACCAAATTCAAATAATGAACAGTTTATTTTAGCTTTAGACCAAAATTCAAATCATTAACAGGTTATTTTAGATTGAGACCAACATTCAAATTATAAGCAGATTATTTTATTTTAAGACCAAAATTTAAATCATTAAAAAGTTATTTTAGCTTTAGAACAAAATTCAAATTGTGAGCATATTATTTTATATTCAGACCAAATTTCAAATCATTAAAAGTTTATTTCAGATTCAGATTGGAATTTCATTCACACCAGACATGTTTTAAATATTTGAAATTATTAAAACTATATTTTATTTTAGGTTTTCACTTAAGAGATGCTGATATTATGTTAGCAGAGGAGTGCCTAAGCTCATGACCCTGGCTCAGACTGTGTCTTAAGGCTTTACAATGGAATATCAAGTACCTTCTTCAGCTTCAACCTTTCCACCTGAAGTGATCTCTTACAGCTCTACCATCACAGCTCACAGTGCGGGGGTTGCTATTGCACCTCAAGTGATTAACTCCAACATTGTAGGTCCTCTCAACATCACTATTATGCACTCAGCAGGTAAGTAAGGTTTTCTTATTTTGTTTCCAACTAAGTTTTTTCTGTCTTTTTTACTGCCCTAATAAAAAGGTATGAAGAGAATCTTGTATTTGAATCATTCATTTTCTTTCTTTTGTGTGTGTGTGTGTGTGTATGTGTGTGTGTGTGTGTATGTGTGTGTGTTGGGGGGTGTTGTCTATCAGCAAATGATCAACAGATCCCATCAACATCAGATGGAGCCCCTAGTATAGGTAATTTAGACTGCACGCATCATTGTCCAATACCATTTTTTCTCAAAAATATTGTTCCAAGGTTTTGGAAAGTTGAAATGTGTGCTTTTAATGTAAGATACTGCTTAATATTTACCTTCCTTAGGCTTGTACTGAGCAGACAACTTCCAGTTTCACAACCATGACACAGTTCAATGAAATATAAAATGTAAAAAATTCGCAAATATTTTTAGCATTAACTTAATTAGGTTGATAGCTAGTAACGTGTCCATAGCTTAGTCAAAGGAGAATTTTACCTCTTTGCCTGCCACGTTTAACACAATCTTGACAATCCAGTGTTGACCAGAGGAGGATGGGTTCACCTGTCGAGTCCTGGTTCCTTTTCAAGGTTTCTTCCCTCACAGGGAGTTTTTCCTTTCCACTGTTACCCTTGGCTTGCTCATCAGGGGTTCAGAGGGGGTTCAGAGTCTGTTCAGCAGCATGCCACCATGTCACACTGAATCAAATTCATCTGCTCCATTTTTCTTCTCATCTTACAACCTTAATAGCAAAACAACTCCAAGCACCAAGTAAAGGGACAATGTAATTAGACCTCTTTTCTGCCTTGGCTAAACTACCTAAATATACTATGCCTCACATACCCAAACGATACCCAAACGCTACACTGTCTGACCAGTCTGATTCTGAATCCAGCTCCTCCGTATTCCACTGGCATAAAGTCATACCAAGGCTCCACCCAGGCTGCTACAGTGTTGTCACTTCAGAATCAGCTCTTAAAAACAGATTTCTGGATAGTTTCTGAGTTCATCCTGGAGTTTTTAGGGGTCTGGCCTTCTGACTACATGCAGAAGCTACACAGAACTCCAGCCCAAGTTCTCAGAGTTCACCCCCCTCCCTCACTCTGTTTTCCCTCAATCTACCACCATGTTGAAGGCATGGTCTGAACTCACAAAATGTAGTTATGTTATAACTGAAGTTGGAGGGAGGAGCATGGCTGAAACCCTTACTTCTTCCAATCTAACGCCCTATAAATTCTCATCCTCACCTTCCGTTCCTGTGACAAATCATTCACAGTCCCCACCATCACTCCATCTCCTCCCTGTTCCTCAACCCTACATCAGTCCAACTACAGCTATGAAGGGAAGTGTGGCCTTTTAGCTACAGGCAGACGCTCCCCAGAACTCCCACAGTTTTCCCTCATGCTACCACCATGTTGAAAGTATGGTCTGAACTCACAAAATAATATGCTACAACTGTCTATTCACAACTATCTATTTATTGATGAGTTGTCTGCCTGCCTACTGGAGAATACTGCATCGCAGTAGAAAGAAATTTTATCTTGTACTAAGCTCTGTCTTTAGGAGGTAATTTTTATGTTCAAAGCACACATTTCACCATAAAAAAAACCCAACAACATTATTTTAAACCGCTTCAAAAAGAAAAACACGTTCTTTTAGTGTTTTCCTAGAACAACTGAGAATGCGCATAGTAGATTGTAAAGTAGGTTGTAAAATAGGTATAGGTATAGTAGGTTGTAAAATACATTATTATTGGTTCAAAAATCCTCCCATTTACTGACATTTATCTTCTTTCTCCAGAAGACACAGAAAAACATTTAAGTAAGGGTAAGTAGACTCAGAAAATCATAAAATTAGAGGCTTCATTGTTGTTTATAATATATAATTATAACGTATTCAGTTGAAGTATATTACATAGTATGAACACACATGACAGATTTCAGTTTTATTTTGTAATCTATACTTACAGAGGATTGGGATTCTGTGCGCCAAGTTCAGCAGAAACTAAAACTCAGCTTGAAGACAAAGCTGAAAACCATCTTGGGTGATATTGCAGAGAAAAATACAGTACATTACAGCACAATACATGACTTGATTCAACCTCTGCACTACATCTCAGAGGGTGGAGAGACGGAGACAGAGAATGAAATTTGGAGAATTGAAAAGGCATCTCTGAATCAAATACCTCAAAACAAGACAGTGAACTCCGATGACATCTTCAGGCCTTTATCCGAAAACAGACAGTACCCCAAGAACGGTGCTGACTAAAGGCATTTCCGGCATTGGAAAAACCTTCTCTGTGCAGAAGTTCATCTTTGATTGGGCAGAAGGCAAAGCCAATCAAGATGTGGACTTCATGCTTCTGCTTCCGTTCTGGGAGCTGGACTTGATTAAGGATGATAAATACAATCTTCATGTACTTTTATGCAGATTCTACCCTGAGCTTGAGGATCTGAACTTAAAGATGTATAAAGAGTGCAAAGTTGTGTTCATCTTGGATGGTCTGGATGAAAACAGAGAGTTTTTCAAGAGTGAGAAACTTTATGATAAGGGCATGAAATCATCTGTAGGTGAGCTGATATCAGATCTCATTAATGGTAAGCTGCTTCCCTCTGCTCACATCTGGATAACCACCCGACCAGCAGCAGCCAAAGACACCACCACTCAACACTTTGACCGAGTAACAGAAATACAGGGATTCAATGACCTGCAGATAGAAGAGCACTTCAGGAAGAGAATCAGTGATCAGGATCAAGCCAATGAAATCATCTTACACATTAAGTCATTCAGGAGCCTCTACGTCATGTGTCACATACCGTTCTTCTGTCATATCACAGCAACAGTCTTTGAAAAAATGATAGGTAACCCTGTCAGTGGAGAGCTTCCCAAAACATTGACTGAAATATACAGCTGCTTTGTGCTTAACAAAGCTGAAGACATCAACGAGGCAAGACCAGTCAAATTGTCTCATTCAGATGAACAGACTATTGTTGCACTGGGGGAGTTAGCTTTCAATCACCTTAGAGACAATGCTGTGATTGCTGAGAAAATGCTGTTGCATTATGGCATTGCAATCAGTGAAGAGGCTAAGCACTCTCAAGTTTTGAAGTTCGTCCTGAGAGAAGAGAAGCCGATGATAGCGGACCTGAATTGTTACAGGTTTCTGCATTCAGGTGTTCAACAGTTTCTTGCTGCCCTTTACTTTCTGAACTCATACACCTGCTTAGGTATTCCAAAATTCCATCCAGTCCAAGATAGTCAACTGCCACATGATCGAACGTCAGCTGATACTCTCAACACAGAGGAGTTTGATGTAAACCCTCAGCAGCAGAACACTTTACATGATATGTTCAGGGTTGCTTTGGACAATGCTTTGAAGAGTCATGATGGACATCTGGATCTTTTCCTTCGTTTTCTTCTTGGCCTATCTCTTTATTACAGTCAGAACTCACTGAGTCAGCTCATAGGTGCTTCAGAGCATAGTGAGGAAAACATCCAGAAGACCATAAGGTATATCAAATACATAATTAGGAATAAGAAGAAAAGCTTCCCACATCCTCAATGCATAAATCTGCTCCACTGCCTGGCTGAACTGAGGGACTACTCTTTTGAAGAGGAAATGCAGAAGCTCCTGTCATCAAGCAACAGTGCTGAAGATCAACTCTCCATTGCACAGTGCTCAGTGCTCGCTCACCTCGTCCAGGTGTCAGGAGCTGTACATGAGGAGCTTAATGTCGGGAAACTGTGCTCTATCCCCGCGGGTCAAGAACGACTGATTTCAGTCCTTCAATACTTCAAGAAAGTTTTGTGAGTATTGAAAATATCTAATTAATTAATTAAAATTATTGTTGGTTACAATATCTCCAATCTTCAATCTCCAGTCTCTGTTTTTCATTGTTCCATTTTCCATACTGTATTGTTTTCCAGTTCAGTACATACGTTTAGAAGATTACATTTCGATAACTATTGTATGGTGTTATCTATAGGTTGGTGAAATGCTGGATAATCTCAACGACCTTGGATACTTTAATTTCAGCTCTTAAGTCACCTGACTCACATCTGATAGAGCTTGACCTCAGTCACAATAACTTTACCGGTGCTCAGTTAACGTCTCTTTGTTGTGCACTGAGGAGCTCTAGACTTCAGTCACTTAACCTCAGCCATGTAAACCTATCAATCATACCACAAATGGGTGAATTTCACTGGTTAAATTTCATGTCTGGTGATATTCAGCCCCTCTGTAATGATTTCCTGGATTCCATTAAGAGAACAACTACTGGGGTAAGTCACACCATTCTCATTTACACGCCTTGGTCAAGTGCAGAATGGTAGTATCTCCAGAGCACTGCATCAAACCACTGACATTTTAAACCATGGCAAGTTGTCAAATTGTTTAGCTACTGTAGTTTACTGTACATAGTTGTGATGTGTCACTCAAATGAATCAACATATTTAGAGCCAGATTTAGTGAAAATGATGAGATGTTGACTGTTACATGTGTGAAAGCCTAGACAACAGGCCTGCCGCTGTCCGAATGCATTCCTGCTTGTTTTGGTGATGTATGCTGTGAGATATTTTGTTTCTACATTTATTTATTTAGTTTTATGTATACTAAGACAATGGGAACACTGTTATTTAGTTGTTTAGAAGGAAGGATAAGATTCCATCAGACAATTTAAGAAACAGTTAAAAATCAACATCAATGTGCAAAAGTTCTAACTTCCTGGTCTAATTGCATGTTTTGTTGATTTTCTGAGTGAGAACAAACTTAAATATGGCATTATTCTGTGAAAGTTTTGTGAACAATTTTTTATTTGCTGAGATTAACATATTGGAAAAAATAGCCAACTTTGGCTAATTTGGAAAAAAATTCACTTGCACCAGTCTTAATTTACATGCAAAAACATATACACAATTACACATGCAGTTCTCATCATCACCACAAATTGAACAGGTAATGTAAGTTATATGATGAATGTGATTAGGGCCATACATTTCCAGCAGTAAAAGCAGTTAATCAGTGGAGCAGTAAATAGGCCAGGAAGAGTCAGGTATACCAAAATAAGCTACATAAGAACTCATCAAAAGGTAGCCAGATTCTGAGGGATGAATAACATAAGAATTCTAGCGCAATCCTGCATTAAAAATGATATGTATTTAATGATATCTATTGTAACTCAGAATTACAATAAAGGTGAAAATTTAAAATGCAGCAGAGCAAGTTAAAGATGGATAGAAAAAGTTAAAAATTAAATTGAATCAACTAAAATCAAATTAAAAACTGAATGAACAAAGTAAAATGAATAACTAAGAGCAGAACAAGTTATTTATTCATGTCAAAGTCTGAAATATACTGTTTGAAAAAGAATTCATCACTTCTATTATTTAAAATGCTTTAGTTAACAGTTTATGGTTTACATATTTAAGAAAATACATTTAGAATATTTACTGACCATTAATGCTTATTTTTCACTATTTTAAAATCAGTCTACAAACATGCTTGTTAGATAAACTCTTCTTTATTGGAGCAACTCAACAGATGGATTCTTTACAATCCCTATCAGTAATTATTCTCAGTGTTACTGAGCTCTGCTAAAGCCTGAGTAGACTGATAAATCAATGTGATCAGTTATTAATCTCAGGGTTACTGAGCTCTGCTAAAGCCTGAGTAGACTGATGAATCAATGTGGTCAGTTATTAATCCCAGTCTTACTGAGATCTGCTAAAGCCTGAGTAGACTGATAAATCAATGTGGTCAGTTATCAATCCCAGTGTTACTGAGCTCTGCTAAAGCCTGAGTAGACTGAAAAATCAATCTTATGAGTGGATTTGTGTATGTTCAGGCATTTAGATATTTTGATAGCCATTGTTAGATTTACAATTGTTTAAGCATTTTTATCTTATTTAATTTGTCTTCCCCATGTTGATGAATGAGTTGGCCTCTGTGTTACCTCATATTTATATCACAGTTAAACAGAAAGTCAAGGATAACTACTTAAGACATTCTGAACCCGCAGGTGGACTTAGGAAAAGTAAAATGTGAACATGAAATGGGAACATGCGTCAGTTACACATATTTGTTCATAGAGGTTCAAATAATTGTGACATTTGGTTCTGCTTAAAATAAATATTTTTATAAGGTTCCTTAGACTACATTTAGTTTAGTAAAAGATTTGATTTCTGTCAAGTTGTCACTGTAAGATTGTGAAGAAAACCACAGAGATATTTTTGTAACTCATAGCCTTTACGTAAACATGTATTACCTGTCAAAACAGATATCAGAATGTATATATTATGTTCATAATATGTTTCATAATATTGTAGTCTTGTGCAATGCTGTAATGTTTTGTATAATAAATACCACAAAATAAAGTGTAATTAACAGGAGGACTTTCATTTGTGCTGCAGCTGAGAACAGAAACTTTTGGATCAGCAATTTTATGTGCCATCCTGTCCGGCCCTCATGTTCAGCTACACTGTAAAGTGAGTGATTAAGAAATTTGAACTTAAGTACACAATAAAAAAGGCTTGAATTACAAGTGATTAGCAGGAATCAAAAAGATGAGCAGAAATCTCTCTCTTGTATTTCCACTTTGCTAGTGTACATTTAAACACTGTAGTTTGTTGATGCGCAGTTTGTGTTTATCATGGTCTAAACCTGGAATTGGTAACTCCGGTCCTGTTCAAGCACACTTTATTGAACTCATCAGTGAATTAGCAGGTGTAGTTCGTGTGCTAGAGCAGGGAAATCACCAAACTCTGCTGGACCCTCAGGTCCACACCCCTGCTGTCACCCTTCATCAGTGGTTGGTTTCTGACCACAGAGCTGCTCTTGGATATTGGATATTTTTGAGTGGTGGTCCACTGTCAACCTAGCAGTGAGACTGATGTGTGTAAAAACCCCAGTAATACCACAGTGTCTGATACACTTTTACCAGCACCACACACACTACCATGTCAGTGTCACTGCTGTGCTGAGAATTGGCCACCACTCAGTGGTCCCGTGGTCCGAAACTGACCAATGGTGAATAGAAAGGGTCTGATAAACTGTACAGCAACAGATGGGTTACAGTAACTGTAGCTGCAGCCTGTAAAATGAATAGAGAGTGAAAGCACAAGGAAGGCATTTTCAATGACGTGAACAGAGCATATATATATATATATATATATATATATATATGTCACATAAATAAGATGAAATATCAACCAAATATGTTTCTCTTTACAGACTGAGGGCCTGCAGTCTGAGTGATTACAGCTGTGAATTCCTGGCTTTAGCTCTACAATCAATGAACTCAGTCCTAAAACAGTTGGATCTCAGTTACAACAACCTGACAGACAGTGGAGTCCAGAACATCTTTCAGAAACTCAAACATCGGAATTGTGTTCTGGAGATTCTTAGGTGAATTATCATGCTAACAGCTGGTCTACAATTATGAATACTGAAAGAAATATACCCCAATCCAGGGTCATTCAGCTCTAGAAACTGTGTTGATTTCAATCTGATTATAGACCCAATTTTTTATTGAGTGTACTATATGATGATATAGACCATATAACATGGTTCAGTTGTATGTAAATACATTTTCTTGTCAGATTAAATGGCTGTGATATTACTGGGGAGTCCTGTAGAACGTTGGGTTCAGTCCTCTCAAGATCACGTCTGAAAAAACTTCAACTTGGTCCCAGCAGAATTGGAGATGATGGACTGAAGCTTCTCAGTGCTGCACTGCGAACAAATTCCACGCTGCATTTATTGGGGTAAGTTTCTAGGCTTACCACATGCAGACCTAATTTTTTCATATTTGTCATGTACAAAACAGAGACATTGAGAACTAAACTAAGTTGTATTGTGCTACAAAGTGCAAAGAACAATACAATTGTCAGAATAAAATAGGCACTATTTTCATAGTTTACAAAGACTGTTGTCCATGCAGCCAAATGGCATGCAGGTACTTTTTCGGTACCAAAATTGTACTTTGGTCATTTCATACCTTGCATAACACAAGTGTATAAGGATGGGAGGGGAAGACACAACCAATTGATAACCAAACTTTTGCACTAAACACTCTTCTTAACCTCCAGTAATTTAAAGTGCTCCCATATGTTATTTCTTAGGCATCTCTCTTTTTGCTTCAGTGGCATGTGGAAAGCGGAGTATTTTTTTGCAAGGTGATGTGAATGCCTGACATTCAGCTGATGCATTCAGCTAAACCAGCTATTTTTTTTACATTTTCCATATATTAATAATAGTTATGTCTACTTCTAGAGATTTCTTTTTTATAAAAAACAAATTTACTGCTCTCACAACACCCCATGATCATATGTTGTGCTTTGTATAATTGTTTGTGTGCATAATAGAAATGTATGTATGTGTGTATATATATATATTTATATATATGTATATATATATATATATATGAAATCTGTGACCTATGGACATCAATAGGTGCTGTTATCTTCCCTGGTACAACACTGGCAGACCTGTAATATATCCATTTTCACTTCCTGCTTGTTTCAAGGGATTTTTGCATTCATTCTTTTCTTCTGTATATAACCTTTAAGGTCAGTGTGGTTCACGTTGGGATCCAGAAACTTCCCCTTTCCTCCTGACAATTGTTTTTTTAGCATTATGTTTCTGGTCATTGTCCTGCTGCATGAAGAAATAACATCCACTGAGTTTTTTGGCATTTATATTTTTTGTAGACTGACTCACTGCAATCTAACTGGAGCTAGCTGTACAGCTCTCGCATCAGCTCTCAGCTCAGATTCTTCAGCACTTAGAGTTTTGGACCTGAGCAACAATGACCTGGAAGATTCAGGAGTGAAGCTGCTCTCTGCTGGACTGAAGAGCCCACACTGTAAATTAGAGATTCTAAGGTCAGTATAAGACTCTTTAAGTTTCTAATTTTCAGTAGCCCTAACTGTGTACACTTTAGTTTTCATTCAAGGAATTACAACATATCAAATGTTGAAATTGTTTTTTTTTTTTATGTTTTTTGAAAAATATATGACCATTTTGAATTTAATGCCAACAACACATGCCAAAAAAATTGGGACGGGGGCATGTTTACCACTGTGTTTCATCACCTTTTCTTTTAAAAACACTAAGTGTTTGGGAACTGAGGAGACACTGCTGTAGTTTTGAAAGTGAAATGTTTTCTCATTGTTGTTTGATTTCAGCTGCTCAACTGTTCAGGGTTTCCTTTGTCATATTTTTAATTTAATAATGTGCCAAATGTTATCAGTGATGAGAGGTCTGGACTGCAGGCAGATCAATTTAGCACTCTGACTCTTTTAATACGGAGCAGTGCTGTTGTGATGCATGCAGAATGTGGTTTGGCATTGTCTTGCTGAAAAAATCAAGGCCTTCCCTGAAAAAGACGTTGTCTGGATGGCAGCATATGATGCCAAAACATGTATATATCGTTCAGCATTAATGGCGCCTTCACAGATGTGCATGTCAACTAAGCCATGTGCACTAATGGCCTCTATGCCATCATGAATACTGTTTTTTGAACTGTGCACTGATTACAAGCTGAGTGTCTTTAGCCCGGAGGACACAGAACACTTTTCCACTTCACCTCAGTCCATTTTAAATGAGCTCAGGCCCAGAGAAATTGGTGGTATTTCTGGATCCTGTTTATATTTGGTTTCATCTTTGCATTTTAGAAGTTTTAACTTGCATTTGTGGATGCAGCGACGAATCATTGCATTTTGTTTTTATTTACATTTTGCATAGCGTCCCGACTTTTTTGGAAATGGGGTTGTATATGAGGTAGTAATCTGTCTTTAGAATGAGACACAGGTGTGTGTAGCTGTGATTAATGATGAAGGGGTGGAGCAACTGACGAGCAGAAGCAGGAATTAGCCATTCTAGACTGGGCAGGTCCCAAGAGCCTGCCTAGAGGAGGGAGACATGGGTTGCAGTTGACTTAATGCGGCCCTGTGCAGCACTGGCTTGACATGATGCATGCTGGTTAGAAAGTTTGTCTGGCTTTCGCCAGCACTGCAGAATGTCACCATGTCAGATGACATTAAAATCTTGCAGGAGCAAGGTGGCTGCAGTTTTTGAAGTCAGATAGTTGCTCTCCATCTGCTGCATGAGCTACAATAAGCCTTTGTGACATCAGAATATCACACTAGTTGGCTGGAATCTCTGATGACAAACACGTGTTGTAATTTTTAAAAATTTTATTAGAATTTCAGATCCATTATCTACAATGGTTTTCTCAGAAAGTAGATTTCCTCTGTGGCATGCGCCCGGCCCCCGGGCCCTGACGATGACGGCCACGAGAGCTGGCAGGAAGGCGGGGCCCGAACAACCAGCGGCGACGAACCTCGGCCAGGATGGGTGAGTGATGGCGGGAGGAGGAGGAAGACGACGTCGACGGCACCGGCAACGATCGGCACCAGGGCAAGGAGCGAGTCCCGAGCTCCGCCGCCTGGGCCCCACCCCCTGTTACGCAGTGAGGCCGCTCCATTACACCTCACGTTCGACCCGGGCGGCTGAGCTGCCAGCTGGGGGTGGTGACAAGGAGGTGGAACAGCGAGCTCTCGTTCCCTCTCGGCTCAGGTGCTCATGCTGCCCTTAATGAGAGCCAGCTAGATCAGCATCAGCGGGTCGAACATGAGGTGTAATGGAGCGGCCTTGCTGCGTAACGGGGGCGGGGCCCAGGTGGCAGAGCTCGGGACTCGCTCCTTGCCCTGGTGCCGATTGTTGCCAGCGCCGTCGTCGTTGTCTTCCTCCTCCTCCCGCCATCACTCGCGTCACTCGGGTTACTCGGAGGAGCTCGGGATTTGCGCTCCGCCCCCTCCCCACTCGCGGCTCTCTCCCTGCCGTCCTGGCCGAGGTTCGTCGCCGCTGGTTGTTCGGGCCCCTCCTTCCTGCAGGCTCTCGCGGCTGTCATCGTCGGGGCCCGGGGGCCGGGCGCATGCCACATACTCCTTCTGGCAGCTCATTTTTTTCACATATGGCCACCACACACTATAGTTTTTACATCCATCAAACAATTCTGTAAAAACAATTTAGTTCAGGAGCCTCCTTTAAAAAGAAACAAGGCCCTTGCAGGTCATGATTTATTTGTTAGATTTCCTGTCACCATCCTGGCAATATGGGCACCTTTCTAATTTTGCAGTTTTTACTTTATTCTCAAGTATGTGGTTCTCAATAAAACAAAAGGAAAAAAATCTCTAAAAGTATGGCTGTAGGGTCTGCAATAAACAAGGTAAATGCTGCAAGATCAGCCATTGTTGTGAGCCCACACTAAGGAAACTAGAATATGCCCAACTTGACAGCAATGTTTTTATGCCCTACCGCTGCAGTTATCGGCAGTACATGTTGACCATCCGTCCATAGTGACAAAAGGCTGTATCAGACTTGGGTAAGATGAAAAAAATTGGGACTGCATTCCTTATTCTAAGTTCTACTTCTTCTGTCTACATCCCAAAAACAACCAAAAAAGCATCACTTTTTAGTCATCAGCCATGCAAAACCTCAATATTTTTTTTCTCATTCACATTACACACATACTCATTTTCCTCACTGCTGTATGGGAAAAAAATCTTTGGCCAGCATGTTATACCAATTTGACCAGAAGATGGCTGTTTATCCCCCTTACCCTTCAGCAACCAGGTGAAAAAATGATTAGGGAGCTAACTGGGTAATAATTAGCATGCCATACCAGCTTTAACAATAATTTAATATAGATTGCCAATTAGACAAGACAAATTATGGTAATATCTATGCTGAGCTTTGTGAGCTATTACAAGTCCACTAGAAACAATTAAAAAACACTAGCTAACCAAATGAGTTTGGCTAGCATGTGACTATCATACATTATCTTCTATTGTAGTAAGGTAGGAAAACTGCTGCCCCCTGCTTGTCAAAGCTGGTGTAACATGCTAAGTGTTAAACAATATTTTGTTTTCATACAGTAGTGGCAAAAAATGTGGTGGAGACTTTTCTTGAGTGGCTGATAGCTGAATTTGTAGAGGTGACACTAGACATATTTTGTCATGTGTTTTTTTAAGATATACAGGCAGAAAAAGTAAATTAAGTGGATTTTTTTCAACTTACCCTTCAGGGCTTCCAGATCAGACAGAGGCTGTGTACTGTCTTTATAAGGGTTTGAGTGTCTAAATTTAGAGTAATGGTATAAAAAACATACACACTGAGAATTAATAAAATTAGGGGGTCTTTAGAACTGTCACAAAACATTTTTAAAAGACATCTGTTTTCTCCTTACAGATTATCTGGTTGCATGATCACAGAGGAAGGCTGTTCATCTCTGGCTTCAGTTCTGAAATCAAACACCTCCAACCTGAGAGAGCTGGATCTGAGCTACAATCATCCAGGAGAGTCTGGAGAGGAGCTGCTCTCTAAACTACTGGAAGATCCACACTGCAAATTGAACTCAGTAAAGTAAGAAGTGTACTTATATTCAGAGATGCTCCTTAAAAAGCAAAAACATGACTTGTATTCTTGTGTTCATTTTTGCAGTCTGGACAATGGTGGTGAGCAAAGAATGAAACCAGGACTCAGAAAGTGTAAGTAGAATATGTTATGGTAGACATCAGTTAATATGGCTGACCACTTTGGACAGCTTGAGAGCAGCATGCATGAGCCCCATTTCAACTAGATTAGTAAAAACATTAGAGCTAAGAATACTGATTTGATTGTTTGTATATAAATATATATGAAACATACACTGATTACTGTATTTCAGCTTTACACATCTTGTATATTGCTGAACATGAAATGTTGCTCTGTTTCTTTGTTAGTTACTAGTCCTCTGATGATTAGTCTGACATACAGATGTATGCAAGACTTAAGATGACTCTGGTCAAATGAGATTTTTTTTCTTGTTTTCCAAGTGAAAGGAACTTAATACAACAGCTGCATGGGACAAACTTAAATATGCCCTTTTCTAAATGTAATATGTTTTTTACAAATCTGAAATAAAATGTGTCATGCAAAAGTTTAATCATGCTTTCTGTCAATCTGTAATTTGCTGTAAGGTCGTATTTGACTCATTAGGCCATCATGCAATTTAGCTGTAGACAGTGCCATGAGAAAGTGTTTACCCCATTCCTCATTTTCTCTTTTATTGCATATTTGTCACAATAATTGTTTTGGATTTTCAAACTAAATTTAATATAGAAATTTAGTAAGACTTAGTAAAACACAAACCACATTTTAAAATAATGATTTTATTCATTTAAGAAGCAATGTTACAACTGCTTTCATTTGATAATATTGGTAGCATTTTCGAGCATGAACTCCTTGATGATTTGCCACTGGGCCCTTGGTGAATGTTTGGCAGGATGGCCACTCCTAGGAACATTCACCAATGTTTGTAGGGTTTTCCATATTTTAAATAGTAGTTCAGTGTTTCAGTGCTGTCTTAGAACATTAGATATGGTTCTGTAACCTTTTTCAGACTGATATATTTCTACAACACGTCACTGCCAAGGACCTGCAAGGAGATTTGGCTGGCACAGGAATAGTCTTTCACTGGCCTATTGTGCAGTGTTGTTGGACAAACATCATCTACATGAACGGGCCATCGGAAGGAAACGTTAATTGTGATCTCATCACAAATTCAAATGTTTGAATTACGCAAAACAATATCTAGAAAAGCAGAGCGCAAAGCCCGAGCTCTGCCGAGTTATACTGTCTACCTGTTTAACAAACAAAAGATTTGCAAACTATTACTTTGGATACTCATTGCTAATTTGTGGATTCTTATTGGGAAAAAGTACATATTCTTAAACTGTAATAGAGCAGAGTGTCATACTTTGTGGGTCTCATCATGTTTTATATTGTTTCTACAGATGCTTGTGATCTTGGAAACTTCACATTGGCCAATGAATGGGAAATTGAAGAATGGAAAAGATTTATGGATGGCAAGGGCTTCATGGGCTTATCCAAGAGTCGGTTCTACTGGCAGGTTGAATGGACTGGTGTTGTTCGGATCGGTGTGAAATACAAGGAAGCCTGGAAAAATGACTGGTGTTTGCATTGCAGTCGTGATGCATATAGTCCTGGTCTGCTGATCTATGCAGAATACAATGAACAAATCAAGCAACTTGGAGTGTATCTGGACTGGCAACAGGCATGCTGACATTCTATGAGGTTTCCTCTGAGAAAATGACATGCGTGCACAGAGTCCACCACAAGTTCGAGGAACCTCTCTATCCATGTTTTATTGTAAGTAGTGAAACAAGCTCAGTTAAAATCCAGGTTTTGTAGTGATTAAAAACGTATGCACTAAGAAATCATGATAATGCCATCAAGAAAATGGTCACCAACTCTATCCACTGTTCGAGTCTCAGTTACAGTCAGTGAACCGGGCTGTATCACTGAGACGGGGCTGCTGGTTTAACCCCTAAATTACTATAGATATGCACTTGGATGTAACATTTACAGTTTGAGTGTTCTTGTGCTCTGAGTTTATTAATTAGCGCACAGTAACTGACCCAAAACACTACCAGCCCAATTCTCCTGACTTTCCTCATCACCCACCCTGGCACTGATTAAGACCATGGATGTAGGTGTTTTTTTAGACTCATCATCCACATTAAATGCTCAGTGTTGTCACTTTCTGTGGTTTCTGTTCTCTCATCTGTTTATTTTCTTCCTTTTCCTGAGAGCTCACTGCTGGTGCCTGTAAGCTGTGAAAGTAGCCAATCACAGGTTCTCTCTGCTCCCCCCTCCCCCCTCCTCTGCTTCACATCCAGTAGGGAGCCAATTCGCGCCTAGGCCCTAATACAATTGCCTGATTTTAAAAATTCATAGATAAGTAGATAGAGAGATAAAATACATAAATAGATTGTTAAAACTAAAGTAACAAGCCTGTTTTGAAAATGTAGTAAGTAAAAATTACAGATTCGTCTTTGGAAATCTAGTGAATAAAAATAAGTATTAAGTGACAGATATACTCCAGTACATGATACCTAAAAACACTTAAGTACAGTAAGTACTTGTACTTTGTTACTTACCATCTCTGTGTTTTTCATCTGACCATGTAGCCCCATATGAAAAAAATGATGCAAATTTATTTATCAAATATATTCTTGCAATGTGTGTAAATGGCCAAAAATATATTTGTGAAATATATATTTTTAATGCATTTATTAGTATCAGTTATTATATGCATTCAGTTGTGTGTAGTTTTAATAAAGGTTACAGATGTAACTAAATGGTACTGACTTCTGTGATCTGCACTGTACTTTATTACATACATAGGGCAGTCATGGGCTGGAGGTTAGGGAACCAGCCCTGTGACCGGAAGGTCGCTGGTTTGATCCTCTGAGCCGACAGGACATGACTAAAGTGCCCTTGAGCAAGACACCCAACCCCCAACTGCTACCCGGGTCCTGTGGATAGGGCTGCCTACCACTCTGGGCAAGTGTGCTCGCTGCCCACTAGTGTGCATGTGGTGTTTCACTGCACGGATGAGTTAAATGTGGAGGTGAATTTCCCCGTTGTAGGACTAATAAAGGATAGCTTACTATTATAACTTATTATATTATTATTATTATGTATTATAAATAATAATATTATATATTATTATTTAAACATGTACGTCTGCAGTATTATTTAAACATGTACGTCTGCACTCGCACACAATGTATTTCAAATAAATATCAAAACTGCATGTTTGCAGAGTATCAATACCTACAACACTGGCTTTTGTCATGTTAAAAGTTCATTTGATCATATTTAAAATGAATATACTGGAACACAAATTCATTTCTAAAAATATCAGACAGTGAAGAGCATCAGACAGGATTCTGGATATTTTCAAATGGATTTGATAAACACATTCACATACCTTTATTTTTGTATAGTACATTATTATGTGTAAGATTTCCTCATATGTTTTACAATAAGTGTATTTTAAAATGTATTTGGTTAATATGGAAATATATTCTGAAATACATTTTACTGTTTGGAATATTTCAGCATCGACTGCAATGTGTTTCAAATGTATTTCAAATATATATAAATACATGTCTATATATATATATATTTTTTTTTCATATGGGGCAGGGTAAAGTGAGCTTTGTGTGGGCACAGTGGTGTAGCCTCCATGGTACAATATAAAAAAGAGCTGAAGAAGCAGGGTGCTCACAGAGTTTGTAACATTGGTCGGAACTGATAGAAGAAGAACAGATTTTTACATGACTTAGCCCAAACTAAAACTTTTAAAACTGCAGTAAACTGCAGCAGAACTGAACTAGTAATTTAGTTCAGACTAGGTCATAGACAACTCGATGCCATTTTTCCAAGGGGTGCCAAAGGGTCATTCTACAGAAACATCCACTTTTCTATCTCTCCATAGGCGTCACTGGTGTTACTGATCCTCATTGGTGTTACACATTATAAAGGTAACACCAGTGACGTTTTAATGAACAATGCATTTTACAAAATGTCTGCTGCAGAACATCAAACCACATGTTGTTAATCATGGAATATCCACTAAAATATGTAATTCATTTGTATTCTATTTTTTCACAATTACCTCAGAATAAAGTCGGTCACACCAGTGACATCAGCTAAAAGCTTCATATGAATCATGAGCTAAATGAGAAAATCTCTGATAAATGAAAGACACAGTGGATTTACCATGTGCTTTTCTTCATAGATCCTCAGAAAACAGGTAAAAGTAAGTGAAGTGTGGGCGGCACGGTGGCGCAGTGGGTAGCGCTGTCGCCTCACAGCAAGAATGGCCTGGGTTCGATTCCCAGCCGGGCGACTAGGGTCATTTCTGTGCGGAGTTTGCCTGTTCTCCCCGTGTCTGCGTGGGTTTCCTCCAACAGTCCAACAACATGCAGTCAGGCTGATTGGACATGCTGAATTGCCCCTAGGTGTGAGTGAGTGTGTGTCTGTGTATGTCTGTCTGTCTGCCCTGTGATGGACTGGTGACCTGTCCAGGGTGTATCCTGCCTTCCGCCCAATGACAGCTGGGATAGGCTCCAGCACCCCACCGCGACCCAGAAGGATAAGCGGTTTAGGTGATGTATGTATGTAAGTTAAGTGATGTCATCAGTGTGACTTTTATTTCAAAATAAGAGATTTTTTGTTCTGCAGTAACACCAGTGACTCGACTCCTGGGGACCACAACTTTCATTATATATTTTATAATATTTATGTGGTATTTGTTTTCTTTATGTCATTTAGTTCATATATTCCATAGTCATGTATAGATTATTGTAGTTAAAATTGCAGAAAAACATGTTATTTTCCTCAAAATATGGCCTCAGCCTTTACACATGACTGTGAGGATGAGCTCTTCAGTGGTGCTTGGAATTCTAGGTAATTGATTTAAAAACCAATATTGCTAAATTGAGGCTCAAGAAGGTGTAATTGTTAAAATAACATTGTTTTATTTCAAAATATAAATAAATTGTAACCCTAACACGTTTTTGAAGTGTAATATATCTGTAAACGCTAGGAACACAAAAATGGACGTTTCTGTAGAATGACCCAAAACAGGAAAACATCACAGTGGTTTGTGTGATCAGCTCCAACCACAAGGAAAAGTGTTTTAAGTCTCTGCTTGAGCCTTTTGAGAAATAAAGCAAAGTTCCTGCCCACGTTTTAGATTTCAGTTCACTGGTTTAATCAAACATGTTGTAGAAACACCTCTCCATAATTCCACACGACAGGTGGCAGCAGTATCCAGATATTCAAAATGCCATATAGCCTAAGAAGAAGAAAAAGTTAAACAGGAAGAGAAGACAAAGAGAAGAATGTTTGCTGGATGAAAACAAGGAAAGGTAGGTTTTGCTGGGAGAACAGTGATACTATCAAACACTCTAAATGAGTTTTGTTTTTTTCAGGATCTTTTTTTCTAGGTGCTCACCAACTCATTTCTCAATGTAACATCAACTCTAACCTATGAATTGATTTAATAATAGGCCTTCATGTAGTATGTAGTGAATGCATTAAAATGCATCCAAGAGGTCTGTTTAATCTGTCTGTCATAGGCAGTACTCATTTGGTGAAATATGCCTAAAACAGGGAGTTACAATTATTAAAAATCTCTTTTGTGCCAAACAAGGCAGATCTTGATATTCAATCTCAACTAAAATTCGAGTTTAGTTTTGGTATTGCCTTTTCTATAGGCTTCATATATTTGCCTTTTAAATCATTTTGGTTTTGTATGACCAGAATAAACACAAATACAGTTTTGAAATGTATCATCATAAACTTTAGCTGCTCCTCAGGCATGAGCTAAATAAGTAAACAATGTACAAAACAAAAACTAAAAACGTATTGGGGAAACAAAAATTACACTCATCTGCCTACACAAAAAACAGGGGACACTTATGGTATAATAACCTAATATACCAATACATACAATACCACATGTATTACTGATCTCTAACAGACAGTATTGAGTTAGAACTCGACACAGAAAGAGAAGGTTTAGCTAGTTTGGTCTGGTTGGTGGGAGGGCAGATGGGAAAATGGCGCAAAACTGGAGCAGCCAAACTCTTCCATGCTTGTTTTCCATCATCTTACATAGTAGAGTGCCCTCTGCTGGCAGGCTCCAAACATTAACAAGCAGTGAAGAAAAGCAGGAGACAGATATAGCAGCTCACACCTCTAAATTAACAGGACGCTGATGATCAAAACACCATTATCCTTAAAGAAAAGCAGATCTGCAACAGTATTGTTAATTGCCTTTCCAAGGTATCCTTACCAGATGTGCTGGAATTTGTCAAATGGTTTGTTTCTAAAGTGGCAGCTCAAGCTGAAGTTTTCTATTCAGCCAATAGTTCTATTATTTACAATCACCCAAAATGGGGCAACTCAACACAAAAAATGTCCAGTAATTATGAAAAATGATGAAAGACACTCCAAAATAGAAAAAAAGTTTTTTGTACATTTTTTTGGTGGTTAGTAGTTTAGAGTGTTTGTGAGCAGAATGAACTATTGTAACTTTATGATTCTAATTCTCGGGTGTTTCTATGAACTATGAGCACTTTTAGCTCCCAGAAATGCATTTTGGAAACATGTTCACATTTTTAGAATGAAACATAGGAAATGTTTTATTAGTATCACAACAGACACTAATAAAACACAGAATTGTTGCTGAATGTAATGAGTTAATGTAATTTATGAAGCATATTTTGGGTCAAAATATATGGAGCCCCTAAGGTGACCTGGTTTTATAATAAGGCATGGCAACAAAGTCATATATTAACTTGTGGCCATAAGAAATTTAACTTGTGGCCTCAATATATTAACTTGTGGTCTTAATATATTAACTTGTAATATCAATATAGAAACTTGTAGCCTCAATATATTAATATTAATATATTAACTTGTAATCTCAATATAGTAATTTATGGCCTCAATATAGGAAGTCGTGGCTGCACCTTATTAAAAAACATCATGTCACCTTAAAATACCAGTTTTATTGTGATTTTGGTCTTCAAATAAATAAAAAAGAGCTATTAAATTATTACTAAAATATTACAACTATTCAACTGAAGCTACATTGAACAAATGTTAAATGACAACATAATTAAATACTTCTGTTGAAACAAAAGACACCGGACAACGGTGTGAGGGGATTGTCCCTGGATTCACAAAGAATCAAAGTAAATATATTCTTTACTGTAACACCTGTTACTAACGTGTTTTGAGTTTGAGACTTTTAAAGCAATTTCAAAATGATGTTCCATTTAGAAATAGTTTGTCCAAGCTAGTGTAAAAGACTCTGCACCCTTACAGAAAAGCCACATACATTTCACATGTGAAGTGTGCAAAAACTACATGTGCTGCTCATTCATATGCGAAAGTTCTGTGACTTTTCTGTAAAGGCTGTTATACTCAAAAACAGAGTGCTGTAAAGACAGTTTTGCACTTTTGTATAGATCATTATTTGTATTACAGACTCTAAAACTTTATTTATTTTGAGGTTCGTTTTGTAAAAGCGCAGTGCCTGTACTTACAGTGACACCGTTGGTCAGAACTGAAATCTGCCACATGTTTGTTTATCTCAGGTGGGAGAATTAAACGTCTGTGTTGAACTGCCCAGACCGTCAGTGCCGAGTTCAGCCCTTTGGCCCAGGTTAACATGGCAGATCCACCAAAATATCCAGCAGACGTCTCTCACGCCTCCACCATTACAGCCTCCAAAGGTTCCTCTGTTATTTCACCCCAAGTGGTCGGCAGTCACATCGAGGGACCATTCAGCAGTAACATACATGTACATTTCCATGGTATGTGTCCTGATCTTATGACTTTTCCATTACTTTAGTTCTGTGAAAAATTCTTCAGTTTGATTTAAAAATAAAAACTAGCGTTTCTCTTTTTCTCCCAGGTGAGAGAAACACAGGTTCTACTGCAAGTCCAACTTCTGGTGAGTAAATAATGAAGCACCTTTATAGTGAGTGAAAGTGTTTGTTTGTTTGTTTGTTTGTTGTAAAGTTAATTGACTCATTTGTATTTCACAGAGCTTATTTTTTAGCATATTATATAATTAATGAGTTCTCTTTTCTGCTGTATTGAAGCATTAATAGGTGAAAATGCAAATTAAGAAATTATACATGGCCACAGAATCTGTCCATTCACACTCCTTGTTACTTAGTCTGTGGCTGAAATAGATCTTATAGACTTGCTTCTAGAAATGAATTAAGCAAGTAAAGATGATCAGCATTTGCAACCTAAACATAATAACCACAAGAGGGAAGACTGTGTTTGTTGTCCTTGTTTAAATCCTGGACCTGAGGGAAGATGACTAAACTACAATATGCATCAACAGTCATTCAAAATGAATAACATCTCTTTTGTCTTTGTTTACACGAAAAGTTATTTATGCCGAAACAAATCCCAACAGCTAATGTGCAGTGGGATCCTTCCAAATGTAGTTTATATAGTTGGACAGCGAAACAATGAAGGAGCACATACAGATTGGAATTAACATCAACAGAAACAGTAAGAGTGAGCAATCTGACAATTTTTATGTATGAGCAGAATAATAACTAAATAATAATAATTAAATACATAAAGATAAACTAATTAAAATAATGAAAGGAATTCCTACAAAAGGTATTTAAAATGTACATTATATTGTGAGACATTCTAAAACTGACAGCCATGTGTGTAGAAGTGGTCATCTGTAATAGATGTAGTAATATTAAGGAGAAAAATACAGTTGTACATGAAAATTTGGACCCCTGGTGAAATTACACATTTTGTTGCTTTTTTGATAAAACATTCACAATTAATACTTATTTGCTGTTTTTAACATACTAGAAAAAAATGGAAAAAAATTGACGTGCAAAAGTTTCAACACCTTTCTGTTGCTGCCCTAGTGTTACTGGTTTAAGGTTAAGAGCTTATTAAAAATAGTCAAGGTCAGAAGTTTGCAAAGCAATATCTAGACAAACTAGAGACATTTCAGAATCATATACTGTGGGCTCGTAAAACAAAAATGGAACTCTTGGGCTGCAATCACCAAAGGTATTGTAGTGTAGGGGGTTCTCAGGAGAATGTTAGATGACTTGAGGTTATGGTCCATAACTCAGTTTTACTTGGAACTCTGCATGGCAAACAGAATACCAGCAGGGGAATGGTAGATCTACTTCAGTCTAGCTCACAGATATAATGAAGACTCATACTGAATCAGAACATAGGCATGCTCTGACACCATTGTATGTTTGAAGAAAAAATGGAGCAGCATGTTATGAAAAGAACACCTTGCCCACTGTTGGGCATGGGGCTGGATCTATTATGCTTTGGAGTTAAGTGTCAGCCAGTGACGCAGGAAATGTTGTGCAGATAGAAAGAAGAAAGGAATAAATTCTATAGCTATTGTCCCACAGCTGGGGAAGAAAATTAAAGCGAAAAGAGGTTGGATATTACAACAAAACAATCGACTATAAATACCTCAAATTCAGCCTTGATTTACTTCAGCAGAAGATTAATGAAAGATTAAGGTTTTGAAATGATCTTCGCCATCCCCAGCATCTTTGGAAATCCATCATCACTGAAGTTCTCAAGCATGTTGTGCATGCAAGACAATATGGTTGAACTAGAAATGTTCCGCAAGAAAAAGTGAAAAAAATCTACTCTGTGATTTCAGTTGAAGGGGATCTTAGGTACTGACTGAAATGTCCAAATTTATGCACATGACGCTTTTTTTTTTTAAAAAATATTAAAGTCAGCAAATACATAACAATTGTACATTAAAACTTAAATAAATGTATCATGGTTAATCCTGCTTTCTGCCCAATAATGGCTGGGATTGGCTTCAGCTCCCCCTGTGACCCAGAAGGATAAGTGGCTTAGAAAATGTGTGTGTGTATGTGTGTGTGTGTGTGTATCATGTTTAAGTTTCATGCAGAAGTGGCCAAAAACTTATTTTAATTAAGAAAATCAACAAAATGTGTAATTTGATCAAGTGTGCCCAAACCTTTGCTATATCTGACAGAATCAAGAGATTCAAGGGAAAGGCAGAAATTTCAAAAACGTTCTAAGAAGGGAAAGAAAAGGAGAATGCCTTTTCAATGCTTAGTTTTTCAAATTTGGTTTATTTATATCAATGACAGATCCGGAACGCGTGCGAATGGTGCAGGCCGAATTTAAGGAGAACTTGAGACAGAAGTTTGAAACCATCTTAGAAGGGATTGCAAAAAGGAGCAACATGACTCTCCAAGAGTGGATTCATCCACAGCTCTACATCTCAGAAAAAGAGAGTAATGTACTATTTACAGAAAATGAAATATGGAGAATTGACAAAGACAAGGCAATCAGCTGCAATGATCTCTTCAAAGCATTGCCAGATCAAAAGGTTGTACTCACAACAGGAATTGCTGGCACTGGAAAAACAGTGTGCGTGCAAAAGTTTGTTCTGGACTGGGCCATGGGAACAGCCAACCAGGACGTGGATTTCATGTTTGTGCTTCCATTCTCAGAGTTGAACTTGCTTAAAAATGTCAGGCACAGTCTTCATACGCTTTTATGTCACTTCCATCCTGAGTTGAAAGTCCTACCTCCGAAGATATATAAGCAGTGCAAAGTTGTATTCATCTTTGATGGCCTGACTGAAAGCAAACTTGATCTTGATCTGAAATCCACGTATATGGTTGGTTCCAAAACTAAGGAAGGGACGGTTACATCAGTGGATACACTGATATCTGTCCTCATAAAGGGTGAACTGGCTCCCTCAGCACTCATTTGGATAACCTCCCAACCAGCAGAAGCCAACCAGCTTCAATGCAGGCCTACTGACCTTGTGACAGATCTTCAGGGATTCAGTGATGCACAGATAGAAGAGTACTTCAAAAAGAAAATCTGTGGATGCGATAAAGCCAATAGAATCATCTTGCACATCAGAGCCACATGGACCCTGCACACCATGTGCCATCTTCCGGTTTTCTGTTGGATCACAGCCACGGCTCTGGAGAGAGTGTATGATGATTGTAAAAGTGATGACCTCCCTAAAACTCTGACTGAAGTACTGACCTGTTATCTGATACAAAGAAACCAGACGTTAAAAACAGGCAGGCTGTCAGAAGCCGACGTGGAGCTTTTTAATGCACTAGGAGAGATGGCCTTCAAACATCCGAGGGACAACTCTGTCCTGACAGAGGACGATTTTCGAGAGCATGGCATTGAATCTGGAGATGAAGCAATGCAATCAGAACTGCTTGCTCACATCTTAGAGGTCAGCCCAAATTCTTCACCTTCCAAGACATACAGATTCCTGCATTCAAGCATTCAGGCCTATCTTGCTGCGCTTTCTGTTCTACGTTCATATAGCAGTTATAGCATAACTGTGCTAAAACCAGAAATACTATGGGTTCCAAAAAATGAAGCAACATTAGACACTGAAAGTTCTGAAAATGAAGACCAAGAAACCTGGGCAAGAAAACAGCCTCAAGGAACACTGTGGGAGCTGCTGCAGGTTGCCGTGGACAATTCTTTGGTTAATGTTGAACTACAGCTGGACAAAAGCTCTGATAGACACCTGAAACATTTTCTCCCCTTTCTTCTTGGCCTGGCATTTAACTGTGGTCAGATGCTGCTGGGTCAGCTCATAGGGGATAATAAACAGGACCAGGACAGCATCCAGCAGGCCATAAGATATATCAAACGTATGCTTAAGACTAAGAAGAAACAGCTCAATCATGATCAGAGCATAAATTTGCTCCGCTGCCTGGCTGAACTGAAAGATTACTCTTTCGAGGAGGAGATGCAAACGTTCATGTCATCCTGTGGCAATGCTGAAGGACAGCTCTCCATTGCACAGTGCTCAGTGCTGGCCCACCTGGTCCAGGTGTCAGGGACTGTGTTGGATGATATGGATGTTTTGAGACTGTGCTCATCATTTCAGGGTCAGTGCAGACTTATATCAGTTTTGAGAAACTGCAGAAAGGCTTGGTGAGTAGAAGAGCATGCTAAACAATAAACTACCTTTACACTCCTACTTTTTTATACAGTTTTTAAGCATATATTAAGTAATAGGTATGATCTCTGTTTATGTTTATCAGTGTAAATTGCAGCCAAGACATTGCTGTGATTTCTGCCCTCCTCTCATCAAATTCACATCTGGAAAAACTGGAATTCAGTCATGGTTGGATTATGAAATACAGAAGTCTTGTTGAAGCTGTAAAGGCCCCAGTCTTCAGACTTAAAGAACTTCATTTTACTCACATACATTGGTTGGTAAGTTGTACTGGGAGAACCAATGTTAGATTGATATTCTATATTAGTGTCGGGATTCCCCAAAACATTAGTTCAAATTAACATTTATAATGGTGCAGTTGAAACAACTGATTAGAAGTACAATTTTATTTCAGTTTATGTTGACATGGTGATATATTTCAAGGCAAAACAAGGCAAGAATCAGAATCAGAATCACTTTATTTAACACATACAAGGAATTTGTCTTGGTGAGTCACTCATGTATGACCTGTAATGTGCTAAACAGACCAGAAAACCCAACAGGCTATCAACAACTATTTAATTTAAGAGAAAAATACAACCCCATTTCCAAAAAAGGTGGGACGCTGTGCAAAGTGTAAATTAACAAGATGCAATGAAGTGCAAATCATTTAAACTCTATATTTAGTTGAAAATGGTACAAACACAACATATCACATTTTATAATTTCTAAGAAATTCCATTTTGAATTTGATGCCAATAACATGTTGCAAAACAAGTTGGGACGGGCAACAAAAGGCTGGTAAATTTGTGTAATGCTAAAAAAACACTCAGTGGTTTGATTGGCAACAGGTCAGTAACATGGTTGAGTATAAAAAAGCATCTCAGAGAGGCTGAGTCTTTCAGAAGTAAAGATGAGGTGGAGTTCCACTCTGGAAAAGACTGGACTACCAAACAGTGCAAAAATTCAAGAATAACGTTTCTCAATGTAAAATAGCAAAGAAATTTTGCTTTTCATCATCTACGGTACATAATAACATTTAAAGATTCAGAGAATTTGGAGAAATCACTGTATACAAGGGACAAGGCTAAAAAACAATATTTGCTGGCCATGATCTTTGGACCTCAGGTGGCACTGCATTAAAAACAGACATGTTTTTAGGGGCTTAGGAACACTTCTGAAAACTACTGTGAAAACAGTTTGTTACTGTATCCACAAATGCAAATTAAAATTCTAAAACGCAAAGAAAAAAACAAATATAAACAGGATCCAGAAACGCTGCCACCTCCTCTGGGCCCAAGCTCATTTAAGGGAAAGTGGAAAAGGGTCCTGTGGTCCAACGAACATTTGAAATTCCTTTCAGAAATCATGGACACTGTGTCTTCAGGGCTAAAGACCACTCAGCTTGTTATCACTGTACAGCTCAAAAGCCAGTATTCATGATGGTATAGGGGTGCATTAGGGCACACGCCATGGGCACATCTGTGAAGGCGCCATTATTGCTGAACGATATATATACATTAAATACATGTATTCATACATAAATATGCTGCCAACCAGACGACATCCTTTTCAGGGAAGGCCTTGACTATTTCAGCATGATAATGCCAAACCACATTCTGCATGTAATACAACAGTATTGCTCTGTATTGAGAGTCTATGTGCTAAATTGACCTGCCTGCAGTCCAGACCTGTCACCCACTAATAACATTTGGTGCATTATAAAATTAAAAATACAACAAATGAGCTCATGAACTGATGAGCAGCTGAAATCCTGTATCAAACAAGAACAGGAAAACATTTCACTTTCAAAACTGCAGCAGTCTCCTCAGTTCCCAAATACTTACAAAGTGTTGTTAAAAGAAGAGGTGATGAAACACAGTGGTAAACATGCCCCTGTCTCAACTTTTCTGGAATGTGTTGTTGGCATTAAATTCAAAATGGGCATATATATAAAACAATAAAACAATAAAACTTCTCAGTTTCAACATTTGTTATGTTGTATTTGCAGTATTTTCTTTTAAAAATCTGATTTACATGATTTGCATATCGTTGCATCCTATTTTTTTACATTCTGCAAAGCATCGCAACTTTTTTGGAAGTGGTGTTTTAAACAAATATAATAAATAGAATAATGAGCAAAAATAAAGAATAATGAATATTAATAAGAGATGTTAGGAATGGAAAATTGGGGGTTCATTTGCTATATAGGCCAGACAATAAGAATCTATGTAGGCATGCTCTGCAGCCTTTAGTTTTTTTCTGTAAGATTTATAGTCCAACTGTAATGAATTAATGGATTAGAAACCATGAAAAAACATTGGTTGGCTCTAAAATGAATTTTTGGCTTTGTTTAGTTTGAGGAAAAGCAAGAATCCTGGGTAGAAGTCATACGTGCTGCTCTGTTGGGTCCACATGATCAGCCACGCTCTTTTACGTAAGTGTAAAAGTTAATAAAATCATTTTATTTGAATGTTTCTCCTTAAAGACTTCCTCTGAAACAATCTACATTGATTGTCCATGCAGGACAGTCAAATTATTATTCAGGCAAAAAGTCTTTGCATAAGTATGCTTAAACTTAAGTCCAAACATTAAATGAAACTGAAAATCGTTTATTTCTTAAATCTAAATGCTTTTTCTATTGAGAAAATGTACATATACACTGGAAGTGCATACAGTTACTGTAGCCAAAGTGTGAACAAGTAGAAAGAAATGCTTCCTGGATATGGATTAAAAGATATATTCTTTGTTAAGTTATAATCTGTTTTTCATTGCAAATTGTTAGTGGAGGGGTAAGCCAAAAATCTCCCAAACAGATAATGTAATATGTTACATTGATCAGTAACACATTGCAGCACAATACTATGCAGAAGTCACATCCATTTATTTAATTTCCAGTCAAAACAGTCATTAAATATGTTATTCATATTTCACTGTCAGAAAACAGAAAATTAGACACTAGCATTCAGCGCTAAGTATACTGTTAAATCTGTCAGTATTTCATTTTTGCACTCTTTGTGCACCTACTCACAATTTAAATCTTCCATCCTTCTGATGTTCTTCCAATCTAAAACCCAACCAATTACATCCATATCCCCCATTGAAGACACAATAACATTCACACAAAACACTACCCAAACTCACCTTGCACAAGGAAGAAGAAAATAAGTGAGTTTCCAAAACTGGGGTTCAAAAACTGATTAAAAGCTACAGAGACAAGGAGACTTCTAACAACCACCTGGAAGAGCTGGGAGACACCAAAACTGTCCCCATCAGATAAACAACACTTAAACCTTTCATTTTTGAGAGAGAGGAGAAAATCAAGCTGCTTCAGATCTGAAAACATCCACAGGTGTTTCTGTCCATCCTTCCACTATGAGAAGACAACTCAGCGCTATGAGTCTGAAAGGACATGTAGCTGATCAAGAAGAACCTCACTGAGAAAAGGAGACGGACACATCAAACAAAGAAGCTGAACAGTGGACTGACCACCCCAGAGTCCAGACCTCAACACCACTGAATGTGTTTGATTTACTTCAGAAAATGATCAACCAGCATCTAAGACTGAACTTTGGAGTGTCTTCACTCCAAAGTGTGTCTGCAGATTTCTTTGAGGAACTGAAAGTGAGTCTCCTGAAAAGAATGGAAGCTGAGTGGACATACTAAATACTGAAACATCTGCTATTAGCCGTTCTTTTGTGTAATTATAATAATTATTATATACATGCACATTTTCTGCTTTTTTATATTGAATAACTATCGCATAATGGCTGTTTTGACAGGAAAATAAATAAATAAAGTAAGGTCTCTGACTCTCTCACTGTACATTCAACAGTGTTTTCATGTAGAAATTTACAATCTTACAGTTCCTGAATGCATTATGTTTCCGGTGTTTGTGTAATGAAGTTAACTTCACACAAGGATGTTTTCAGTACTTCAGTGTGGCACATGCTTTCTCTGTAAGGCTGAAGGACTGCAATCTCAGTGATGACAGCTGTGAAGTCCTAGCCTCAGCTCTACAATCAACCAACTCAGGCTTGAAAGTGCTAGATCTCAGTTACAACAACCTGACAGACACTGGAGTCAAGAACATCTATCAGAAACTTGAACATTCAAAATGTGAGCTGGAGAAGCTTAGGTGAGCCATGGTTTGAAAAAACAGAAGTTATCATGCTCAAAGTTTATAGATTAAGATGAAAGTTTAAAGGACAGTTGCAAAGAACATTGCTTAACTCAGGGTGTGTTTTTTTTCCAGAAAGTGGTCATTCACTCTATAATCATACTTGTGGAGATACTGATTTAATAAACAGTCATACAAATGCTTCAAACACTATCATGAGATTGTACTTATGGATATATTAGTTCATTTGTTACTTAGTATACTCTCAACACTGAGTAACTGTGTTGGAAAAACAGTATATTTAATATATTCAGTCTCATCAGAATATGATACTATTTTTTCCAATTATTGTGGGCAAATTGTGCCATTCTGTCAGCAAATTTCTTTTCTATTTTTAGGTTAAGCTACTGCCATAAAATCACAGATAAATCGTGTGCAACATTGACCAAGGTTCTACCTCGGTCACATCTGAAAGAGCTGCATTTGGATGGCTGTAGAATTGGAGACTCTGGAATTAAACTTCTCAGTAGTCCTCTGATGATTCGTCCAAACCAACTACAAATACTGTGGTGTGTACTCATGTTTTTTTTCTTAATAATTCCATTTATTTATGAAGTACCAACACTTACACCTCCTTAGTGCATGAATCTGCTAGACTGGCAAAGATTCTATCTACATTAATATATTAATACATATAAAGGGCCAATGTACTATGTTTTTCTTGTCATTTTATGTACCAAATTTTTCATCTCAATACACATGTACAGTATGTGTTTCATTGGAACACATACTGTACATGTGCATTCACTCTCTGTCTAAAATGCTCTGTTAGAGTTCTGGTATTTTTAAACCCCACCTTCTAATGAGCCCCATGTGCTCTGATTGTTCAGTTCATACACTCTGTTCTGATTGGTCTACTGCCAGAGCAGTTCTGCCCCTACATGTTCCACCCCTGAATAAACTCTTTTGAGTCTTCAGTAGTTGCTGTGTATTGGATGATGGTGTGCCAAGCTTTTAGGCGGTAGGTGGGCAATAAGGACTGTATTATGACAGATTGTGTCACAAGATGAGAAAACACCTTGAATTCCAATGAGACATTTCAGGCAGCTGCGATTTGTGTTTTCTGTGAGAGAGAGTTTCTCCCTCTGGCATTGACTTTGGGCTTTAAGACTTGGTAGACTGTTTTCATGCACAAAAAGCTAGAAAGGGAAAAACTGGAAACACATTGTGGTGTTATCAAAGAAAAGAAGACTTGGGACTCATTGTGCTTCAAACAAGTGCATCTTTTATTAACACAGCAGTAGAAACCCATTGTTCAGTGCTACCTTTATGGCTACCTTTATGGGAGGCAGGGTACGTCACCTCAAACTATTCATCTCACAAATATGGTAGACGCTAAACCCCAACAACCAGCCCCACAGCCCAGAACAATAATCCACAACAACATTAACACTCTAGCCCACAATTATTTACATGTCTATAAGTCTCTCACTGCTGCCACAGCAGTACCCATGGTGCTCCACGCTCGCCACTCTGCATAGCCATACCGAGCCAGTAGTGAGTAGTCCGAACAGAGTCTGAGCAGACTCATTGCAAAAATCTGACTTCCTGAGCATGCGGGAGCACTGCCCCCCCCACCTCCCTTCAATGTGTATGGGTGGGACTAAACTGCTGTATGCTGTATAGGAAGATATATGTAAATGTTTAGGTTTTTCATAACCTCACAAAGACAATGAATTTAAAACAGACCTTTTTGCAGTTACTTTCCATATGTGGATTGTATGGACTATTTTATAACTTGAACAAAACATACTACATCAAACTCATTCCAAATGAGAGACGGACATTTGTTTTTTTGTACAAACCTTTTAAATCTTTAAAGCTTTTAAGCATTTTCCTCAACCATACGACCATCTCACTTATCTGGTAGGAATACATAGTTATACATCCAAGTGCTAAGCTACCTAAATCAAATATTTTAGTGTTTAATATACAAATTCTAAGGACATCTAAAAATGCAATGGTATGTGTCGAATGCTGTTAACCGATTATTGGTGTGAGAATGTTCTGGGTTGACTAGTCATTCTTACAAAGTTGTTTGTTTTAATAATTATGTAATGTTTGATGTACCTGTTTCCAGGTTGGGCCGCTGCAATCTAACTGGAGATAGTTGTGAAGCTCTGGCGTCAGCTCTCAGCTCAGATTCTTCAGAACTTAGAGAGCTGGACCTCAGTGACAATGACCTGAAGGATTCAGGAGTGAAGCTGCTCTCTGTTGGACTGAAGAGCTCACACTGTAAACTAGAGATTCTAAGGTCATATTCATTTACCTGATCTCTGAATGTTGTCTAAATGTATCTTCATTCAATGAAATGCAATGTTATCAATAAATAAGATGCAGAAAAATACATATACAAGTGTTCCAAGTTGGTAAAACAAACAAAGTGATCACTTGTGTGGTTCTCGTCTTATAACACCTCAAGTAATTACAAAAAAAATAAAAATCTGTTGCACTGTTAATTTATAAATAACATGTTCATGTACATTTGTATCATCATTTGATTACATGGTGAGCTGATTAGACTTGTTCATTTTAATAGGATGTCTGGTTGCATGATCACAGAGGAAGGCTGTTCTTCACTGGCTTCAGCTCTGAGTTCAAACCCCTGCCACCTAAGAGAGCTAGATCTCAGCTATAATCATCCAGGAGAATTAGGAGAGAAGGTGCTCTCTGCTAGACTGGAGGATCCACACTGCAAAATGGAGACACTTAAGTATGTTGTAGATTTATGGCTGTTGGTGAGACCAAGAGCTTATCTGTGCAAAAGTATTAAATTTATCTTGTTTTCTCTCATTTTATATGCAGTCTAAGAAACTGTGGGGAGCACAGAATGAAACCAGGCATCAGAAAATGTAAGTAAATTAAATTTAGCAATCTTTCCTTATTTCATTTGTCCAAGTATTGAGGTCCTAGTACCGCCATTGGGCCTCATTCACCAGCTTCACCAAGAAGAAATTTTGGTAATACTTTATTGTAGTGTACAGTTCACAAGGATACATGACACCTACACAAGCTTGTCATTATAAATTATATAACCCTACATAAATGTTTATTAATGGTTATTCCAACAGCTAAAAGGTTATAAAGGTTAAATTTGCCAAATTTGATCAAAGTAGCATTTATGACAGATGACGCCTTTTGGAATAAGCATTAATAAACACTTATGTCGGGTTATGTCAGTTATCATGACAAGCTCATGTAGGTGTCATGTAGCCTTGTGAGCTGTACCATACAGTAAAGTGTTGCTGAAATTTCTTCTGAAAACCACACTTTACACAGTTTTCATAAAGATTCTGACATTTACCAATGTTTTCTTATTTAACCAAAAACAATGTAATTATGTTGTTTCTGGAAGATTCTAACGAATACAGTTCATAGACATATCCAATGTCAGTGAGGAGGGACAGAAATCACCACATTAAAGGTGGAAATAGACATTTTAAGTGTTTTTGTGATCATTTAAATGTTTATTTTAATCATTTTATTTTAGGTTAATGTGCAGATCCCTTCACTTTTTACAGAATATGTTTTGTTTTGCTTTTAAAAAGGTAATGGGACATAAACTGAATTCTATGCATGAAAAGTACCTCTTATATTGTTGCACATTTTGTTTTATTTATTTTATAGATGGATCTTACTTTGCAAAGTGGAAACTGTCATGTGAGGAAGATGTTCAGAAGTGGGAAAGACATCTTGTTGACAGCGGCTTTTGTGGTGAACAGGGGAAGTTCTACTGGCAAGTTGAATGGAGCAACATCCAACTTGCCAGTAGAACAAAAATTGCAACAAAAATTGATTTTGGAATGAAGTACAAAAGTTCGAATAGGTGTTACAGTTTTGACAGAGAGTCCATCCCCCAGACAGTGGGAATCTATCTGGACTGGCCAGCTGGCACCCTGTCCTTCTACAAAATTCTGTCTGATCAGGTTCAGAAACCAATTCCAAAATCAGATCAACTAACACATCTGTACACATTTCACTACAGATTCAGGAAGCCCCTTTATCCATATGTAAAATTACAAAAGACATCTGCCATAGCCTCAGTCCAGTCCCTAGAGCCATTCTCTCCAAACTGAAGAGAGCAACTTAGCTGTTGCTCCGGACTTCAAATCACACATCAGTAAGACAGATTTTTCTTTCTCCAGAATGTAGGTAGCCTTAGACTTGGCGTCCCACTGATAGATGCCAAATGTTTCTACTTTTAATGCATTTTGTACTGGACAAACATCCTTAGATCATTAACTAGTACTAAACACATCTATTACACCAGAGATTACTGTATTTGTGTGGTATTGATTTTAAAATGTTTTATAAATCAGCAAATTGTGATCTGCAGTCTTGTTCCGGGAAGATTGTGATTTAAGATAATAATAAAGATATTTCGATCACAACACATCTGGAGAACTAAACTTTTTGTTCATATTTTACACTTCAGAAATTTTGAAGTGACCCCAAAGTTTCAGGCATCAACTTCACAGGAATAAACTCAAGCAAGTATTGCTTGAACAGTTATTAAGTGTTTTATTTGCTTTAATTTGTGTTGTTTTCACAGCTGTTACGAACATCTTTTCTCTACATACGTACATGTACAAAAAAAACAAAGGCATCTGAGAAAATGATAGGTACAGAATTTGTGTGGGCAGTAAGTGTTTACTTACCTACACATTAAAAATACTTACATTAGAATAAATAGAAATAAACATTCAAAACTTTATTGAAAGCAATAATTTCCCTTTATATTTTGTTGTATTTACGTTTATTTGCAATTATTGTAATGCTATATTGTGACTTTTCATGCAAAACATACTTACTGGCCAGATAAATCATTTTAAACAATGTATGGAGTGTTAGAAACAAAACCCTGTGTCTCCATTTTTGTTTTTTTTTATTTTTTGACGTAATTTGAAATGTCTGCTGCTGCTTATGTATGACTTATATTAGCATAAATGGATCACCCTTATATCCAACTTAGATTTTATCATATATGAACATATACATGACATTCATACCAACTTAGTTGAAATTTGCCTTTGTCAAAATTGAGACATTTTTTTCAGCTATACATCAACATATACAAACAAAGGAATACATTTTTTCCATATATGAATAATGTTTCCTATTTTTAAAAATGTGATAGGAAACGTTTATTCATATAACAAAGAAATATATTCCTCATATATGTTAGCATCATGTTTTGTAATACAATATAATTTTTTGTATTTCATTTAGATTTTTTTGCTTCAAAAACATTTATATACAAAATATGATCTATATTTTATGCATGTATGAATTCACCCACCTGTGAGACATAAATGTATGATCCATATATTATGCATATATGTCCAATATTTGATGCTTATATATAATTATGTACACTACATATATGACCATGTAAAGCGACACTACTCTGGTGTTGCCATGAGAGGGTACACTTCTGTGTTTTTGGACATGATTAGAGAGGGAGGGGGCGACGAGTAAAATGATCTGAAACGTGGAGTTATACATTCCCACAGTGAACTCACCTATTTCCTCACATCCTAACAAGCTTTAGCAGCGTTAAATCACGTCTGCTCCTCACAACTCCAGCACTGTTACAGTGCTAAGTCATATTTTAGTGCTGGTGCATTCCCAAGCAACAAAAGAGAAAGAAAGAAATCACAGCCCTGATTTAAACAAAGTAAACTGAGGATGCTGTATTGGAGAGTGAGAGAATGCTTCCCAGGCTAGCTGTTTTTAGTAGCTGGCTAACTTGAAGCAGTGCTCTGTCACTCACACAGCGCGGCAAATTGATGTTACTGTAGATCAAACGAGACAAAATAGCACAAATTTCAGTCTAAACATACCCAAAAGAAGGACTCCGTTTGTCTGATGTGAGAGATACACACTGCAGTTAATGCTTTTACACAGCAAGCGTCAGATATATTGCGGTTCACCCCTCAAACTACTATGATAGAATAGAGAAATAGAGAAATCCAGTCGTCTGCTAGCTGGAGAATACTGTGATATGCTCTGAGATGGATGTGGTAAGAGTGATGGCAGTAAGGCAGTGTGATCCATCACTGACATACCAAGCCAGCTAATGTTCGCTGTCTGTACTAAGTTGACGTTGTTGAGAAACTAAACAGTTTAGCACTCGTAACCAGACAGCTAAAACAATCTTCTTAAATTATGAATATTACAAAAACTGTGGCCGTGCTATTCCAGCTGGTAAAAACAGCCAACCAGACACTTTCTCCTACTCTCCCATGACAGGTTTGTGAAATGTTCCACTGTTTGGCGAGGGTTTATCATGTTCTGACCATAAAGGATAGTTTAAAACAGCGATTAACTACCCAGGAGCAAAAATCAGCCTTCAAACTTGATTTGACATTTGTTGAGATATGTATCAATATCAACTGGATCAGTTTATCACAGTTATTTACCAGTAAGAGGTTAATAAGAAGAGTGAACTCTTAACTCATGAGGAAGTCTATGTAATAGTTTTAAAATCTGTTAAACATTGGTCCTCATCTCCAACCATTCCTAAAAGGAAATTTCTTCTTAAAACCCACTTATGCAGTTTTGATGAATATCCTGTCATTCACCAATGTTCTCTTATCTGGGATTTGTTCTTAGGTAAGAACAGAAACTACACACTCTCAAGAGCACAAAGGTGAGAACAGTTCTGCACTTTAAGAACACGTCATGATCTTTCTCAAGAACATAATTAAGAACAAACGTAGGAAGATACTGGAGAATGAGGCCCAGTATTACCACAGACATGCTGACTAACTTGGACCGTACTTAAAAATAGCTCATCAAAGTAACAATCATCAAGATTTCATTAATCATTATCACTGCATCATAACCAACTGGATGGGCACGCTGCACTGGAAATGATAAGTTGGTTTTGTTTGGTGTTTGCATGTGATTTGAGGTTATGAAACAACACTGTAATACTGGTTGCTCTTTAAGGCACTAATGACCAAAATTCACTTATAGATCTACCTTAATGTAGATTCTAGTTTTAAACCAAAGCCAAAAGACCACCCCTCAACATCTCCTGTGAGATTTGGTTATAATGATTGCGGCCAATCCGTTCAATTTTAGTACATGATGAATTTAATTTGCAAACTAATTAAATTAATTGTTGTTAAAAATCTAAACACCCATCATTTGATGTTAATTATCAGTTAATTATGAGTTGGCTTGACAAAGGATTTGCTATTAAATTCCAGGTGTTTGCTATGATGTTGGCTATTGCTATGGTATCCCAGGTGGTCGCTAAGATGTTGCTAGGCCATTGCTATGGTATCCCAGGTGGTTAGTAAGGTGTTGCTAGGCCATTGCTATGGTATCCCAGGTGGCTGCTGAGGTGTTGCTAGGCCATTGCTATGTTATCCCAGGTGGTCGCTGAGGTGTTGCTAGGCCATTGCTGTGGTATCCCAGGTGGTCGCTAAGGTAATAATAATAACAATAATAATAATACATTATACTTATATAGCGCTTTTCAAGAACTCAAAGACGCTTACAGGTTTTCAAAATACAGAACAGTAAAGACAAACATGAGAACATGAAGCACAGTCATAAGATCACAAGCAAAAACATAGCAGGACTTGGCAAAGGGCTGGTTTAGGATTGAGAACAGTTACAAGCAATAGAAAAGAGATAAGTTTTAAGTTTAGATTTAAAAGTGGAGACAGAGTTGGCCTGTTGAATATGTGAGGAAAGAGAGTTCCAGAGTTGGGGAGCCAGCCTAGAGAAAGCACGATCACTGTACCCATGTAGTTTGGAAGGTGGGACAGTGAGTAAACCAGCAGAGGAAGACCTGAGAGTGCGAGTTGGTTTGTAGGGAATAAGTAGATCAGAGAGGTAAGAAGGAGCAAGGTCATGTAGAGCTTCGCATGTGAGGAGAAGAATTTTGAATTGTATGCGGTATTTTACAGGAAGCCAGTGGAGATGTTGCAGGATGAGTGTAATATGCTGATGTGCATGGGTGCGGGTGAGGAGGCGAGCAGCAGAGTTCTGTACCATCTGGAGTTTGCATAAATGGGAGGAGTTAATACCAGCAAGTAGAGAGTTACAATAGTCCAGGCGACTAGAAATGAATGCATGAATAAGGGTTTCTGCAGCAGACTGAGAGAGTGATGATCGAATTTTTGCAATGTTACGGAGATGGAAAAAAGAGGTTTTAACTACAGAGTTGATGTGTGCACTGAATGAGAGAGTTGAGTCAAAGAGAACACCCAGATTTCGTACCAGAGGGGAAGGGGACAGAGTTACATTGTCGATGGAAAGAGAGAAAGGAGAAGTTTTAGAGAGAGTTGATTTGGATCCTGTAAGAATAGGTTCTCAGTAAGGTGTTGCTAGGCCATTGCTATGGTATCCCAGGTGGTCGCAAAGGTGTTCCTATCTTATCCCAGGTGGTTGCTAAGATGTTGCCAGGCCATTGCCATGGTATCCCAGGTGGTCGCTAAAGTGTTGCTAGGCCATTGCTATGGAATTCAAGATGGTTGCTAAGGTGTTGCAATGGTATCCCAGGTGGTTGCTGAGGTGTTGCTGTTGGTGCTCATTATATATTCTCATATATTTTTGTACTGGGGTACGTTGAACTCTGCTGGGATGTTTCACTTCACGACCAGTGCAACTAGGGTAAGCACTAGATCACTGATGCCAGCCAGCAACATGGTTGCATTTATTAGCTTAATCATTCAGTGGCTAGAACTCAGGATTTTTTGATGACACTAAACAGACCCAATGGTTGTATGGCATCTATGTGTAATGCTTGAACAACAATGGCTATTGTAGTAGTCAGATTCTACAAAACATGACAAATATCATAAGAAACGCTAATTTTATGATAGAATGTTTTTTTTTTAATCTAGCAGTCTTGCTTAGTTGTGCACCCTCTGCTGGTAGGCCACACAAAAGCAGCAGAAAATACATTTAAAAGTAGAACGAACATCCTGGTCCCGGTACGTGTAGATGATGGGGTTTACCAATGAGTTGCAAGCCACCAGGGTTATGATGAATGATTCCACCACCAGCAGTTTCTGTGGAACATGATGCAGGCCGTCCAGCAAGAGCAACACCAAAGCCGGAGTCCAGCACAGAACAAAACATCCTGATTGAGAGACAAATAAAAGACAGTGATGAATGCATAGCAACATTTACAGAAGGATTTTCACTTACATGTATGTAACTAAAATTATAGGTGCAAAAAAGGGTTCTTTGGAGCAGAATCATCTTTAGTTCTTTAAAGAACATTTTGAAGGAATTTTCAAAAAACAAATAAATTAAAAGGCAGGAATTAAAAGCAGGTATTCTGTGTAATTCCTCCAAGAAAACTCAGTTGAAAGCACTCAACTTGGCCTGAGCGACAGAGATGTTTAAAAGGCTATAATCACCACGTTGGGAAAGAGAACTGACAGAGAATTAGAGAGGATGAGTTTAGCTTTAAACAGCTTGCAAAATTATATTCAATTATTTATTGTATGTATGTGTAATATTTTATTCCACTTTACCATTATTGCATATAACAAAATAATAGCTGAATTCCAGAACACCTTCACTTCAACGACAGAAAACATCTGATTTTTTTAATATGCAAGGAATCTGGATGTAGCTTTAGAACTCACTTTTTGCACTAAACATGTAGCAGTCTGAAATGTCTCCAGCAGGAGGCACTGATAGCACTTTGCTTTGTGTTTGTTATTTAAAGAGAAAAAACATACATGAACCCACACCAGCAGGATCTTACAGATGTGTGTTTGCAGTCTTTCAAAACAAAAGGTGAAATAGTTTGTTACCAAAGTACATTTATTGAGTATTGTATTATGTAATATGCAATTTATATTAAATATTGTATTACATTTGTTCATGGTAAAAAGTGTATAAAGCAGACCGCACAGGTAAGGCAATATAATTAATAATCCCAATATTGTTCTAATAAATTGATATTGCCTAGGTCTACATGAAAGGTTACTTAGGAAAGCAAAAAGTGGTTCTTCTTTGGCATCACTCGAGGACTAATCTGTACTAACATAGTGCTGCTGTCAGAAGAAAACCTCGTACCTCCATTTTTGTCACTTTTCAGTTTTTGACATTATTTGAAAATACCTGTTGTCCTTTACATTGTGGGTAAATTTTATGAAGAATGGACCAAAAGAAACAGCCCAAAATGACTTAGAAAGAAATCTGGTTCCATTGACTTACATTAAAAGTAAAAGTAAAGTTGTTTTTTTCTTTTTCTTGTAAAGGTTTTTGGAGATACAAAGTTTTCTTCCGACAACAGCGATATAGTGATCTCTTACCTACTATCAGTAGCACAGTGTTCATCAGGTTGAGTATGGTTTGTTTACTTCGGTCCTGTGAAGTGTGCTCCCTCATTTGTTTGCTTTTCTTCCACACGTACACACAGATGCACGTGTAGAGTATGATCACTATGAACATGATCAGCAGGCTCAGTATGGAGATGGTCAAGACGTAGCTGCGATTGAACAACGGCAGCGTCTCAGAGCAGGAACTCAGATCACATAGACAGTTCCATCCCATAATAGGCGCCAGACCAATCAGAATGGCAATGATCCAGACAGCAAGGATAAGCAGGACGATGCGTTGGTTGGTCATTTTGCTGTGAAGCTGCATGGTGAAGATGGTCTGTTGCCTCTCCAGCGCAATGGCCATCAGGTTCATCAGGGATGCCATTAAACTGGTGTCAATCAAACCCTGGGGGAGTGGTTAATTTAGCAAAAAGTGTCATTTAGACAAATTTTCACCCCTTACATCAAACGTAGTTAATAAGCTGAGGCATGTTTGGTGTAGGAAGGTTTCTTCTATAGTTTTACACTAGAGCTACAAGTCTAATGTAGCTAAGTAGTGGAAGGTTTAGACAACAGTTAGCATGGTGCTAATGTATGCCTAAAACTATGTTGGGTTTGTTAGGTAATCTCAGATAGACTTGCTTGTGTGGTGTCTGAAATTGTATGACACACTGTTATCTATAAACATAGACTTAAGTACATGGTTAAGTACTTTAGCATAGCTAAAAACAGTAGTAGCCATTTTGAATCCTGAATTTTTCCCATGTAACAGTGTCCAAACCCACATAATTAAGTCTATTAGAGATACTGAACAACTCCATTCGCTTTGAGGCAAAGTGTGTGGTGATTTAGGCATGCAGTTAGCACAATGCTAATACTATAAGCTTCTACTGCTTGTAAGCTACATTAGCCTTATATGTCACACAGCATCCGAAATCCCTTGTAGATTTGGACTCGATCTCCCAGAATCCTCTGACTCAATATCCCGGGATCCTCTGGGAAGTCACATGACATCTCACGTGACACCGCGCTCCTATCAGCGCTCTAGGTCTCCGGAGTTTTGATGTGATTCACCTGTGTTAGTTGTCATATGATATACTTAGTGTAGTATATAAGCCCGGGCTTTAGCTTAGTAAAGTTGCGAGGTATTGTATCTATTTATCCATTGTTGTGTATTTCATGTATGACCTTTGCTTATCCTTTTCTCGTCTCTGCCCTTTTTGCTCTGCCCTTTGGATTTGGTTGCATTGTCTCTGATTTGGATTATGACCACTTGCCTGTACCTTCGACCACGCTACCGCTTTTCCCTTTTTGGATTGTTGCCTTGGCTGATCTTTGTATCTTTCACGTGCCTTCTGGATCTGAACTCTGCCTGGTTATCGACTATGACTTTGAACTCTGTTTCTATCAGTAAAGCCCTTTCTGTAAGTTACATCTGCGAGCGTCTGACCGTGCTTGAAACCTTATATTATAACTTCAGTGCAAGGCCAAAGATGCGAACTTCAGACACCAAACATGTCTTGTAGAAAACTATAAATTTGATCACACTATCATTTTAAAATAATTGATCATATTTCACTTTGTCTATTGGTCAAAGCAAATAATTAATTGAACGTGAAAGTGCGAAACTGCAGCTACCTGTCGGACGAACCACTGGCTCGTTGATACTGTTGAGGTCCAGACGCCAGCCAGGCATGTTATGAGAAGATAAGAGATCCCAACGCAAAGGTCAGTCACAGCCAGGTTCCCGAGCAAATAATAGAAAGGGTAATGTAACCGGCGGTTTATAATGATGGCCGTGAGAACCAAACCATTGAGGAAGATGATGGAGATGCAAGTGAACAGTGAACCGATGAAAAATCCCACTGATCTGTAGTGCTTCGCTTCAAAGATAAGGTCCCTCCCACTCAAATTGTAGAAGAACATTGCTGTCTGGTTGTAATAGCATACAGGAACATTGATGGAAGCATTATACATGCTGGCCATCCTGGCATTTGGGCACGGTCAACGGCACAAAATGCACTCTGAATGCTCAGGAGCAGAGATTCGAGGAGCGTTTCTGGAAAAAAGTTTGTCAGATTTAAGTTGGAAGTGATGATTGGCGGGTGACCAGCACCGACTGGAATTTGTTTGATTTTAATGGAAGATTGGTTGTAACTGTTTGTTAAATCTACAGTGATTTGACTGATCCCACTGTTCCCTGATGAACTGTTTCTGCCATCAAAATCTGTGAGAAAGACAAAAGAATAGTTTGTTCAAAGCACAATTTAAAAAGACATAAAAATCCATTGCTGTAAAATCACATTGCCTGCATTGCTTCATGCATAAATATTTATAAAGACTTATTCCAGTAGGCGTCATTTGACGTAGCACTGATGTCAAGTGACATCTATGTTTTCTGACATTGGCTTGTCTTGACACTTGTTTGGATGAAACGACAAAGCACATTATACCAACTCATATCACAGTGGCGTAACGCTGAGGATGTGAAATAGTTAAAATTGATAAAATGAAACTTACTTTAGAGCTGGCAAGCCATACCATACTGTCAGCTTCATGCCACTGTGATACACACTGAACTGCAAAGTCTGTCATTTCACTTCAAAAAGTGTCATGACAACCTAATGTTAGAAAACATCAATGTCAAATGACATATTTTGTTGATCTTTAAAGTGAAAAGAGGTTTCTGGATGCCACATAATCCCAAAGCATAACAGATCCACCCCATGCTTAACAGTGGGCACAGTGTACTTTTCATCAAATGCTGCTCCTTTTTTTTTCTCTCCAAACATACCTTGTTTGGGATTGTGGCCAAACACTTTATATTTTTCTTTGTCAGTCCACAGCACTTGTTTCCAAAATTCCTCCAGCTTCACTAGATGTTGCTTTGCATACTTCAGTTAATCAAGGCCTAGTAGGTTAATTAAGTTCAGAAATTTTAGAACTGGAAGTGTGCCCAAACTTTTGCACAATTACTTTTTTTAATTTTCTAAGTTAATCAAAAACCAAAGCAATATTTATAACTACTTTTCTTTACAGTTTACTTATTTTCACTCCAAAAATCAACAAAATACGTATTTTTGCCAGGGCTGCCCTAACCTTCAACTTGATTTCAAGATTGGCATATGTGGCTGCCAACGAAAAATGCAAAAGATGCATTTTGGAATAAGTGTTTATAAATGTTTATGTAGGTCTATGTTAAGTGTTAGTTAAACTCGTTAAAACTAGTTTATTAAAATATTTATTATTAAACTAGTTAAACTCCAGTGCTGCTGGAGTTTTTAAACACCTCAGTGTCACTGCTGGACTGAGAATAGTCCACCAACCAAAAATATCCAGCCAACAGCGTCCTGTGGGCAGCGTCCTGTGACCACTGATGAAGGACTAGAGGATGACCGACACAAACTGTGCAGCAGCAGATGAGCTATCGTCTCTGACATCTACAAGGTGGACTGACAAGGTAGGAGTGTCTAATAGAGTGGACAGTGAGTGGACTCCAGCAGCACTGCTGTGTCTGATCCACTTGGACCAGCACAACACACACTAACACACCACCACCACGTCAGTGTTACTGCAGAGCTGAGAATGATCCACCACCCAAATAGTACCTGCTCTGTGAGGGTCCATGGGGGTCCTGACCGTTGAAGAACAGGGTAAAAAAGTATGCAGAGAAACGGATGGAATACAAAGTGCTCCTATATGGTCAGTGGAGCTGATAAAATGGACAGTGGGCGTAGAAACGAGGAGGTGGTTTTAATTAATTTTCATGAAATGGACTCAATGAAGTGGCCAGTCGGTGTACATATACATACTGTATGTTTGAGTATGTTAAAAAGTGAGGCCCTTGTGTATCAGTAAATCAAAGGAGAATGTAAGAACTGAAAAAAAATGTAGTACATTGAAAAATATATTCTAATTAACATTTCGGAATATACTGACCACATATTGTAAAGTAGTCCTATAATATATTCCTGAGAGACTTCCTGTAAATAAACATAAATCATGATGCAAATGTCGTTGAAGTTCCAGGTTCCTTAGATTGTACTCAACTGTATTCGACACTGCCGTGTAAACAGCAGCCTGTCTGTGTAGCTCAGAGAGCATTTACTGAAACTCTTCTTTTCTCAACTACAAACCAGTTTTTTAAAGTAAATATTACACTGAGAACAACGGCAGAAATTTCAGCGTGAGGATCACGAGCCATTACTCAATCAGTTACTTTGATCTATCACTCACCTTTAATTGAGTTGCTCCATGTTAAAGAGCTCCACCGAAATGCTGAGGCTTCCTCAGAGCACCACACAGCTTCTCACAAAAAGACATTCTGCTGCCACTACCGCCTCCACTTTTGACATGTTGTGTCATGTTGCAGTGTATGTGAATCAGGCCATCCCGCCCTTTGAAGCTACGTATTTAGAATATCTGAACTGAATGCCCAAAACAGCTCATCATTACAACACAAACACTGACAGACTGTTGCACCTCACCCTATTTCTTCTACTTCTGCTTCTGCCAATTTGTCACATTTAAATGTTTCAGATCGTCCAACTAATTTTACTGTAAGATAAAGACAACACAAGTAAACACAAAATGCAGCTTTTAAATTATCGTTCCATTTATTAAAGTTAAACATTTATTCAAAACCTATATCACCCATCTGAGAAAGAATCCACCCCTCAAAACCTAATAACAGGTTGTGCCGCCCTCGGCAGCAACAACTGCAGTCTGAGTTTTTTACATCACTACGGAGGAATTCTGGCTCACTCTTCTTTGCCGAATTGTTTTAATTCGGCTTCACTGGATGGTTTTCAAGCGTGAACTAACCGTTTAAGGTTTGCCACAGCATCTCAATGGGATTCAACTCAGGACTTTGGGAAAAAAATGGGAAAAAATTAAAAATGTGGGCTGTGCAAAAGTTATGGCACATTTTATATAGTTTAGTTTTTTTCAATATGTTAAAATCAGTAAATAAACATGTTCCAGTATGTTAAAGAAATTGTGTATTAAAGTGTGTCTCTGTAGAGGATGTGTTTTATTTCTTTACACTTAGAAAATAAACAAAAAATCTATTTTGTTCAGGGGTGCACAAACTTTTGTATAATTTTAAGAATTCAGAGTGTAAAAGTCAACTTAAAATTTAAAGTCCATCTTAATTTTTCCTCAACTTTACTGAAAAAGTTATCATTTTTAACAAAAACGCAAAGTTAGGTCAAGAAACATTTTTTTTTGTTTAAAAAAAAACAGAATAAATAGAAAAAAACAGTAAATGTTGCTTTAAGAATTTTGTTACTTTTATTTGATTCTTACTTAGTTCCTCACCCAATTTAACCCTCCCTCTCAGACTGCAACTCCCATATAATGCAGTTCTCGTAATCTCATGATCTGTTGATGATTCAGTTGTGAGACAGTTGCGCCACTCAGGAGCCACAAAGTTGCTTCAATTTCTGTGTTTAAGAAAGAATGTAAAGGTGAAGTTACTTGGGCTTATGTAGTCCCACCTTCTGAGACAGAAAGCATTGTCTGTAAATTATGATAATAATTTGCATTATAAACATATGAATTTTTTAGTGTTTCTGTGCATAATTTTTCTTTTCATGGCACAACAGTCTAACTGCCTGATCACCAGGAAACAAGAGATCATGAGTTAATGTCCCTGTGATGTCTCAACTCTCCACAGACGAGGATCTCCAGAAGATTTTGGAGTGTATTTTTGGGAATTTGTGTCTGTTCAGCCAAAAAAACATTTGTGAGGTCAGACACTGATGTTGGACGAGAGGGTCTGGCTCACAATCTCCGTTCTAGTTCATCCCAAAGGTGTTCAATGGGGTTGAGGTCAGGGCTCTGTGAGGGCCACTGGAGTTCCTCCACACCAAACTGGTCAGTCCATGTCTTTATGGAGCTGCTTTGTGCACAGGGGCTCAATCATCGGCTACTTCAAAACCTTAATCTAGTTTCTGTTGAGCCGTTCAGAGGTGGACTTGCTTGTGTGTTTCGGATCATTGTTCTGCTGCATAACCCAAGTGTGCTTGAGCTTTAGGTCATGAACTAACTGGTGGACATTGTCCTTCAGGATTTTCTGACAAAGAGCAGAATTCATGGTTCCGTCAATTATGACAAGTCGTCCAGGTCCTGCAGAAGCAAAGAAGCCCCAGACCATCACACTACCACTGCCATGTTCGACTGTTGGTATGATGTTCTTATGGTGGAATGCCATTTTTGCCCACTGGCTTTCTTATTGTGGAATCGTGTGCATTGTCCTTAATTGAGGCAAGTGAGGCCTGCAGCTCTTTAGATGTTTGTCTGGGTTCTTTTGTGACCTCCTGGATGAATTATCAATATGCTCTTGATGAAATTTTGGAAGGCCGGCCCCTCCTGGGGAGGTTCACCACTTTTCCAGGTTTTCTCCATTTGAAGATAATGGCTCTCACTGTGGTTCGCTGGAGTCCCAGAGCCTCAGCAATGGCTTTGTAACCCTTTCCAGAGTGGCAGATTTCAATGAATTGGAACAAATATGCAAAAACCGAAGAAATTGAGAAGGGGACAATTACTTTTTCACATTACTGTAAATCTACTCTCAGCTGTGTGAGTCAGTGAGTCACTCTTTCCCTTCATACCAGCTTCCATTCTTTTCAGAAGACTCACTTTCAGTTCCTCAAAGAATCTGCAGACACACCTCCAAAGTTCAGTCTTAGAAGCTGGTTGATCATTTTCTGAAGTAATCAAACACATTCAGTGGTGTTGAGGTCTGGACTCTGGGGTGGTCAGTCCATCGTTCAGCTTCTTTGTTTGATGTGTCCGTCTCCTTTTCTCAGTGAGGTTCTTCTTGACAGCTACACATCCTTTCAGACCCACAGCGCTGAGTCGTCTTCTCACAGTGGAAGGATGGACAGAAACACCTGTGGATGTTTTCAGATCTGAAGCAGCTTGATTTTCTCCTCTCTCTCAGAGATGAAAGCTTTAAGTGCTGTTTATCTGATGGGGGCAGGTTTGGGGTCTAACAGCCCTTCCAGGTAGTTGTTAGGAGTCACATTTTCTCTGGAGCTTTTAATCAGTTTTTGAACTCCAGTTTTGGAAACTCCTGTTTTTCACTTTGACTTCCTCCTTCCTTATGCAAGTGGATTATCTTATATCTAATCTAATTTCTTCAGAAACGACTGAACAGCCTGTTCTTACTGGCTGCTTTGCCTGGAAGTTGATGGTCTTGCACAGTACCGTCTATATATGGGAGCATAGGGGTGGTTGTCAAATGTTTCACTCTCACTGTACTATCTTACAAATCAAATAACTTAGAATAGCCAAACCTAGACATAACAATGGTTCATAGTGTCCTTGACAAAATGAATAGAACATTGTGTAAGTATTTAGTTGGTAAGATAATTATTACATATTAATTACATCATTATACAGTGTTTTTTAAATCTATGTTGAATGACACACTGAAGTTTGTTTCTTATCAAAAAGTAAGAACATTAAAACCGTTCAGAGAATCTGTTTTATTTAGGATAATATAATTTAATTCATATTTCCTTTTAAAACATAGAGGCTAAAGTACTCACATTAAATGTAAACAATATACATTAAAGCCTAATATATATATATATATATATATATATATATATATATATATATATAGAATAGCAATTTAAGAGTCTAGAGGCACATGTGACAATGTGTGAATGGGCACAACCAAAAATACCACTTTTCTTGCCCTCTTTAGCTCCTGAAAAAAAATGTTTTGTTGATATTCTAAGTTTAAATAAGTTACATGTCCCAGTTCTGCACACTTTAATACATAATTTCTGTTTATGTTTGTTTACTGAATTTAACACATTGGGAAAAAAAAAACTAAAAATGTGGGCTGTGCAAAAGTTATGGCACATTTTATATAGTTTAGTTTTTTTTCAATATGTTAAAATCAGTAAATAAACATGTTCCAGTATGTTAAAGAAATTGTGTATTAAAGTGTGTCTCTGTAGAGGATGTGTTTTACTTCTTTACACTTAGAAAATAAACAAAAAATCTATTTTGTTCAGGAGTGCACAAACTTTTGTATAATTTTAAGAATTTAGAGTGTAAAAGTCAACTTAAAATTTAAAGTCCATCTTAATTTTTCCTCAATTTTACTGAAAAAGTTATCATTTTTAACAAAAACGCAAAGTTAGGTCAAGAAACTTTTTTTGTTTAAAAAAAACAGAATAAATAGAAAAAAACAGTAAATGTTGCTTTAAGAATTTTGTTGCTTTTAATTGATTCTTACTTAGTTCCTCACCCAATTTAACCCTCCCTCCCAGACTGCAACTCCCATATAATGCAGTTCTCGTAATCTCATGATCTGTTGATGATTCAGTTGTGAGACAGTTGCGAAACGCTTGGCATTGGGCATAGAGATCTTAGGCTTGTGTGCAGCTGCTCAGCCTGGAAACCCATTTCATGAAGCTCGTGAAGCTCCTGAAGCTCAGTTCCAGTTCTGAAGTTGCTTCCAGTGGCAGTTTGGAACTCTGTAGTGAGTGACACAACAGAGGATAGGCGCTTTGCAGGATAAGTGATCCCGCTTTGTTGTCCTCCGCTTTGTGGCTGAGTTGTTGCTGCTTCCATTTCACAATAATACCACTTACAGTTGTCTAGGGCAGATCTAGCAGGACAGAACTGACTTTTGGCAATGATGGAATCCACGACAGTGACACCATTAAAGTCACTGAGCTCTTCAGTATGACCAATTCTACTGCCACTGTTTGTCTCTAGAGCTTGCATGGCTATGTGCTTGATTTTATACACCTGTTTTGGTCATATAGGGTAAGACTCAAAATTTCAAGTTGACCTGACTTTTTTAGTTTTATGTAGTTTTATAATGTAGGTGGCTGGAAAATGGTCTTGTAAAAACAATTAAAAAGTAAATAAATAAAATAAAAGGAAAAATACAGGATATGAGCCCATTAAAATGACTGTTAGCTCCACAGTAAGCTCATGCTCTGCAGCGCTGCAGTTGGAACTGTACTTATTCCTCGGCATCTGTCAGAGAAGAATGCAGACCAACCGGCTCAGAGTCACCTGGACGATGTTCACCCATCAGCCTGGATCAGCTGTGTTATTAACCCTGTTGTGTGTTTAGTGAGGCTGTGTTTATTTACTGAAAAACACTGATCCATGTTCTACAGGGATCTCCAGCAGGATCAGAGCCATGACCTTACAAGCTTGGGTCTCCACTGAACTGGCCACAGCTTTGAAGGACCACAGAGGAGAAAACAAAGGAGGCTGAAGAGGAACGTTCTAGAGCCTCGAAGGGAGGAGCTCAAACTGAAGCTTCTGGAACTTTATCACAAGACAGCTTTAACCGTTTATGAACCCTGGGCTGATTATTCAGCATTTGATTTGCTGGTAAATTGCTGTTCAGGTTTCATTAGCTAATTAGCATTATTCAAATCATCTAAATTTGATTTAAAATCTTTCTTGTTGGAACCAACTTAGTTTTTTTGGTGTCAAAAACTGACAAAGTGTAAAGAATGTTTCATCTTCAGCAAAACAAGACCATACATACAATAACTTTTAATCAAATTCAAATGATATTAAAATATCTACTTTTATATTGACAAACTTACAAATAAATGCGATGTGGTTTGAAAGTTTAGAATTATTCAGTGTCTACTATGAATTACCTTAGTAATTTACCAAGTACCAAGTATTTACCATACATTTGTCAGTATTTACTATGAATTACTTAATAATCACTACGAATTACACAGTTTGAATTACTCCATATCTACTATTAACAGTTCAATATCGAACAACATATATAAATAAGAAGTTTATTTCCTGCTCCACCTGTACATTTTAAGTAACACAGACCTGTGACGTGTGTGTGTGTGTGTGTGTGTGTGTGTGTGTGTGTGTGTGTGAGCAGTTGTGTAACTAGTTTTTAGTCCAGTTCAGTTTTACCTGATCTGAAGAAGGAAGACACACAAACACTCTTCAGAGAACAACAGCGGGACACAAACACTCTTTACACACTTCATACGAGGTAAATACACACTTCTTTACTGAGATTTAAGTTCACTGTACTGACTGTACTGGGTTATATACACACATAGATACACATACATAGTGTATTATATATTTATGCATTTGTAGTTAATATGTGTTTATAACAGTCTAAGGCTGCTGTTTATATAGTGTCTATGTATGTGTTTATAACAGAGTAAGGGTAAGGCTGTTGTTTATATAGTGTTTATGTATGTGTTTATAATGATGTAAGGCTGACGTTTATATAGTGTTTATTTATGTGTTTATAACAGTGTAAGGCTGATCTTTATATAGTGTTTGTGTATGTGTGTGTGTTTATAACAGTGTTAGGCTGATGTGTATATAGTGTTTATATGTGTTTAGAACAGTGTAATGCTGATGTTTATATAGTGTTTGTGTTTATTACAGTATAGAGCTGATGTGTATATAGTGTTTATGTACGTGTTTATAACAATGTAAGGCTAATGTTTATATAGTGTTTATATATGTGTTTATAACAGTGTTATAGGCTGTTGTGTATATATTGTTCATGAATGTGTTTATGACAGTGTATGGCTGATGTTTATATAGTGTTTGTGTGTTTATAACAGTGTGATGCTGATGTTTATATAGTATTTATAACGCTGATGTTTATGTACTGTGGTGTCTCTGTTTCAGTAGAATGGGTGTGTCCAGCTCTAAAAGCAGTATGTTTATAACAGTGTAATGCAGATGTTTATATAGTATTTATAACGCTGATGTTTATGTACTGTGGTGTCTCTGTTTCAGTAGAATGGGCATGTCCAGATCTAAAAGCAGTATGTTTATAACAGTGTAATGCAGATGTTTATATAGTGTTTATAACACTGATGTTTATGTACCGTGGTGTCTCTGTTTCAGTAGAATGGGTGTGTCCAGCTCTAAAAGCAGTGTGTTTATCAAAGAGGAAAGATCCAGATCTGACTCAGTGCTGTCCCTTAAAGGCCTGAAGGGGGCGTTTAGGAAGAGGAAGAAGAAGAAGAAGAAGGCGCCTCTGTTTCTGAGGAAGTTGTCACCAGGCAACAAGAAAGAGGCTCTGTCTCTAAGGAAGCTGTCGCTAGGCAACAACAGGAAAAAGGCTCCGTCTCTAAGGAAGCTGTCACTAGGCGACGCCAGCAGAGTTCTACAGCCACTGAAGAACCTTTCTCTCAAATGAGTTACGAAAAACACAAGGTAGATCAACTTAAAGAGAAAAGATACATACATACATATATATATATATATAAGCATATATATATATATATATATATATATATATATATATATATAGTGAGTTTCAGGCCTTGTCACAATCCGGTTTTTACTGACGATAAACACACGTCAAGATTTGAAAACATACACATGCATATTATTAACCATCAGTGATATAAAGTTCGAAGCTGACCGAGAGCAACACCGCGTAAAGCTTTAAACGGGGCTCGTTTGATTTGTGTTTGGTGAATACATTAATAAGCAGCCTGACCAATCAGAGCTGTGTTGTCATGGTTACTTCTGTAGTTAATTTGCTCATTTCTAATGCTCGGAGCTCTGAGCTGAGGCTTTGTCACCGTTAATTTGAACAGTTTCATCGGCATCGCTGCTCGATTAATAGTTCTTTCCTCCTCTCTGAGCTCTGATGGGAAAGTTCACTTTTGAAAAGCTGTCGGTTCTACAATATAAATCTAATCAATAATCCCACCTCCTCCAATCAAAACACGTGGAACAACAGAGCTGATATGATGGACAGAATAAATAAGTAGAAGGAGGAGGTAGTGGCTGTTATTTGTTCATTTTGTTATTTTTGCAAGAAAACATTCAAAAAATAATCAATATTTCTCTGCTGTTGAGACCAAAGTCCGTCTGTCCCTCTTCACTCTGTGCGATGCTAGTCAGTGCAGGCGTCTGTTAGCTGATGTAACAGATCTAGTGTTCTCCTCCGAGTGTGTTCAGCTGTCCAATGACGTTGTGTGAGCCGCAGTTTGAAAAGATGCGGTGGCGTCTCACAGGACAGAGAGGAAGCCTGTGTTTGCCTTCACCCTCCTAGCGCTGGTGGTTGGTGTGATTGTCCTAACTAGTGGGTGGAATTGGACACAACTAAACTGGGTGGAAATTGGAAAGAAATTCCATAAAAGTTTGATTTTTTGTGTTTTTTTGTGTTTCGTGACTACAGTACCCCACAAAAGTTTGTTTATTTATTTATATCAAGCTTCTTATAACCCTTTATTACTCACCTTAAAAGTAAGTACATCTAATTTGCATTCTTCTTGATCAGCTACACATCCTTTCAGACCCACAGCGCTGAGTCGTCTTCTCACAGTGGAAGGATGGACAGAAACACCTGTGGATGTTTTCAGATCTGATCAGCTTGATTTTCTCCTCTCTCTCAGAGATGAAAGCTTTAAGTGCTGTTTATCTGATGGAGGCAGTTTTGGGGTCGACCAGCTCTTCCAGATGGTTGTTAGGAGACACATTTTCTCTGTAGCTTTTAATCAGTTTTGGAAAGTCCTGTTTTTTCACTTTGACTTTCTCCTTTATGCAAGTTAGATTATCTTATATCTAATCTTCTCACAAACATCTGAAAAATGAAGAACTTCTGCTTAATGGCTGTTTTGAATGGAAATTAAAGAAATGAAAGATGGTCTCTGACTATTGAACAGCACTATCCATATGACTCAACCTCACTTTGTGTCTTAGAAACATTTTTAACTCTCATTTAAGTCTTTAGATCAGAACGTCTTTAAGATCATTAAAAATGTATATTCATTTAGATTTCTAAAACTTTTGACTTTGTATGCAACAAACCAACATGATGTTGACTTTAAGTCCCACTCTGATATATCAGCCCTGAGTATTATCTAGATTACAGTATATGCATGTCTTTGTAGTATTATAATGAATAATTGTGTTGCACTTTAAAATGATGCAAAATAATGAAGGAAAACTTCACCGATGTTCTATTTTGCTGTTCACATTTGTGTTAACATGGCATTAGCTGATCAGTGAAGGTGTTTGTTGATCAAAGAAATGTTATTAAGTGTTACTATTAAAGTATTATATATCAAAACACCAGTATCAAACACTGTGGCCTCATCATTTATATCTCAAATCTTTATTGGTTTTTAAATATAAATTACAGACATCATCAAAGGCTTTGCAGTCCATCAAGACCTACTAAACTAAAACTGCAACTTCCAAGAATAAAAAAAAAGGTTTAAGTGCATTACATAAATGACTATTATGAGCTTTAAGATGAATCAGTGCTAGATTAAGTATATATATATATATATGTAACACTGAGTTCTTTGGCCAGCCAGCAGGTGGCACACTTTTATTGCAGTGGAGCCACATGATCTGAATGACTTAACCCTTTTACTGCACAATGTTGCCTCAGGGCAACAAACTCATTTTCCTTACTTTACAATAACATTATACATATTTAAAGACAATGATAGGGTTAAGAATGAAGAGAAGAGTTTGAGTAAGTCAGTAAAAAGCATGTGCTTGGTCATACTGTCTCTTAGGGGCCACTTTTAAACCTCTTTTTTAATAATCAGTATCATTTTTTGTTATGAGAATTTGCAGGAATATGTTTGTTGCCTAGAAGCAACATTGTGTGACAGTGGAATGGATTTAGCCAGTCACAAGCCAGGTCTCACCACTTCAGACTACACAGCTCTATATCATTTCTTCTCATCGTCGCATAAGGCAACATTATACAAATTTAAAGACAACGATATGGTTCACAATAAAGGGAAGAATTTGAGCAAGTCAGTAAAAAGCACATACTTGGTTATACTATTTGTTATGGGCCACTTGCACCTCTTTTTAAACATTCGGTATCATTTTTTGTTATGAGAATTTGCAGAAATATGTGTGTTGCCTAGAAGCAACAGTGGAATGGATTTAGCCAGTCACAAGCCAGGTCTCACCGCTTCAGGGAACACAGCTCTATATTATTTCTTCCTATCATTGCACGATGTTGCCTCAAGGCAACATAATCCAAAAGGATCCCTGCACAATTTTTTTTAAATGTTTTTTAAATTGAATAACCATGTCTATTTTCTGCAAGAATAATGATTATTTTTTTGAATAATGCATGTAATAGAAGGTAAATGAAAGGCTAAGTAACTAACTGTTGAGTCGATTCAGGTTGAAAGAATGCAAAATGGACAGAAGTATGGAGGTAATGTGTAGCTGGTGGCTGCTACTGTTTTTAGCTATGCTAACGTTCTTTAGTCCATGTTTACGGATAACAGTGAGTCATACAAACTCATAAACCACATAATCAAGTCTATTAGAGACACTGAACACCTCCAGAAAGTCTGTGATTATTCAGAGTAGGAGAATGCATATTTCCAAGCTAAGCTAAATGTTCACTGCTTGTTGGCTACATTAGCCTCGTAGCTCCAGTGCTAAAACTCAAGAAGCTTCAGACACTGAATGTCTTGGCTGATCGTCTATATTGTTTAAATGAAATTTTATCATAGAATACTCCATCAGTAAGAGAAAACAGTGCTTTTATAGCTGTACAGTTTCACATATTAAGGTTGCATTACACTTATATTTAGCCCTATTTGGATCCACCCTAGTCATAACATTAAAACCACCTCCTCGTTTCTACACTCATTGTCCATTTTATCAGCTCCACTGACCACATAGCAGCACTTTATAGTTCTACAGTTACAGACTGTAGTCCATCTGTTTCTCTGATACTTTGTTACCCTGATCTTCAATGGTCAGGACCCCGACAGGACCCCCACAGAGCAGTTATTATTTGGGTGGTGGGTCATTCTCAGCACTGCAGTGACACTGACGTGGTGGTGGTGTGTTAGTGTGTGTTGCGCTGGTGCGAGTGGATCAGATCAGTCCACTCACTGTCCACTCTATTAGACACTCCTACCTTGTCGGTCCACCTTGTAGATGTGAAGTCAGAGACGATAGCTCATCTGCTGCTGCACAGTTTGTGTCGGTCATCCTCTAGTCCTTCATCAGTGGTCACAGGACGCTGCCCACAGGACGCTGTTGGCTGGATGTTTTTGGTTGGTGGACTATTCTCAGTCCAGCAGTGACACTGAGGTGTTTAAAAACTCCAGCAGCACTGCTGTGTCTGATCCACTCGTACCAGCGCAACACACACTAACACACCACCACCATGTCAGTGTTACTGCAGTGCTGAGAATGACCCACCACCCAAATAGTACCTGCTCTGTGAGGGTCCATGGGGGTCCTAACCACTGAAGAACAGGGTAAAAGGGGGCTAACAAAGTATCAGAGAAACAGATGGACTACAGTCTGTAATTGTAGAACTACAAAGTGAAACTATGTGGTCAGTGGAGCTGATAAGATGGACAATGAGTGTTAATGTTATGGCTAATCAGTGGATTCCTCTGTTGTTTCCTTCAATTTGTCCAAGCAAGTCCATTCAGTTGCAGATCAGATCACATAACTCGTGACCTGTGTCAGTTTTGCTGCCACACAAATGTTGAACTGGTCACCAGTTCGTGCTACATTAACAATCAGTTTTCCTTCTGTTCATCTACATGTGAGAACTCCAGCTCTCAGGTCTCAGTGCAGTTCTGTAGGTCCTCTGCTTCTCGAAGAGACAGCTGAGTCCCGTTTGACTGACTCATCAGGATCGGGTCGTCTTTGGGGTTCCTGCCTGCCTGTTCACATACAGAGAAATGAAATGAGCAATGCTGTAACATTAACATCTGATTTTTTAATATGTTTTTTCCAGCATCTGCTTGGAACCTCCTCTTGTTAATACAGCTTGATTTTTCTTTCCACCAACTCTGGAATCAAATCTAAACAAGAGGTCTGTATATACAGTATATACAGTGATGTGAAAAAGTATTTGCCCCCACACGACTCTTCTGTTTTTGCTAATTTGTAGTTTGCACCTTGCAGCTCACCCATGGATGCCATTTTTCCCCACTGTCTTATTGTGGAATCGTGTACATTGACCTTAACTGAGGCCTGCAGCTCTTTAGATGTTGTCTGGGTTCTTTTGTGAGCTCCTGGATGAGTCGCCGATCCACTCTTGGTGAAATTTTGGTCGGCCGGCCACTCCTGGGAAGGTTCACCATTTGTGGATAATGGCTCTCACTGTGGTTCTCTGGAGTCCCAGAACCTCAGCAATAGCTTTGTAACTCTTTCTAGATTAGTAGATTTCAATGACTCTGTTTTGCATCTGTATTTGAATCTCTTCAGAACGTGGCATCACATGCTGCTTTTTGAGACCTTCTAGCTGCTTCACATTGTTAGACACTTTCTATTTAAGTGATGTTTAGATGCAGCAGGTCCGGCAGTAATCATGCATGGGTGTGGCTAGTGAAGTTGAACCCAATAGTCAATTGAATTTGGTTAACTGGTGGATTTAGTAGATAAGGGGGCAATTACTTTTTCACATAGGGCCAGGTAGGGCTGAACAGCATTTTTCCTTTAGTAAATGAGATCATCATTCGAAAAAACTTTTACTTGGGTTTTACTTGTCTAATATTACAAGTAGTTTGATGATCTGAAACATTCAAATGCAGTAATTGAAGAAACTGGGAAAGGGGCAAACACTTTTTCACAGCACTGTATTCAGTTAATACATACTTTTCCATTTCAGCTTAACTCGGCCCTTTATGTATGGCGGTGACCACCCTGAGGCTGAACCTTTAGCATTAGCTTACTGAGTGCACCCATAAACTGAATCAAGTCAATCTGATTGATAACAGTTGAATAACTTTTTTTGATCAATTGAATAATAATAAAATGATAAAATATCTCTCGTTTTTCATGCAAACACAAGCTGAGAATCTGCACTTTTTGCTTTGAGCACATTATTTAAAACCATTAATCTCGGCGATAAGTGTGCTTTCGCTGGTTGGAACACAATATGTCACTAGAATCAATGCAAATAAACAAAACGAGGGTAAAAAGTAACGAGAATTTCTGATTTTAAAAAATCAGTAGTTTGAAGAACAGTGTTAGTTTTCTTCTCCAGACATCGCAGATTTATTAAATTCCATCAGCAGCTCCTGATTTAACACGATGAAGTACTGAAAAACTGAGCTTCCTTGACGAGAGGATTAAAAACACAATTTTATAAGTTTCACAACGATTATGAACGTGAATAAATCAGAGTGTGATGTTAGCAGTGCAACCTGATTATATTCAATCTGCAATTCCAGTTCTGATTCCAAGTGATGGGAATCTACGGAGCCCTGCTGGTGACATTCCCATATAAATAAAAATAATGCATGGCCACACCTTATTTACAGGTGGGAATGAGATCCTAATGCGTGGCAACGACTTGGTAAGGCATGGGAATGAGATAATTAAGTCGTGGTCACGACTTAGTAAGGCGTGGGAATGATGACATCGTGCCTTACTAAGTCGTGGCCACGCATTAGGATCTCGTTCCCATGCCTTACTAAGTCATGGCCACGACTTAATTATCTTGTTCCCACACCTTACTAACTCGTGGCCACGCACTGTTTTTATTTATATAGGATGTCACCAGCGGGGCTCCTTAGGAATCCATGTTGATTCCACACAGTAATTTTCCGATTCGTAATTCCGAGTCCAGACATCAGCTCATCCTTACACAGGAACCTTTACAAGGGAAAGCTCAACGATAACTAAATGGGAAGAGGTTAGGTGTGAACACAAGCCGGAGTCTTAATTCCGGTTAGATCGCTGCTGCAGTTTGACTGCACAACATTTAGTACGATTCCCAAAAAATTCTTGGGAGAGATCATGAGTGAACATTACTGGGAAAAACAATGACATCCTAAGTACGGACTGAAGATCTCAACGTTTCTTTTGGTTTTATAGTGTTGGGTTTTCAGTCTTTGTAAGAAAACCATCACAGGTCTGTATTTTGTACATAATTCTTGTGGAAAACTGCTCAAGAGAAGCGGCACATCCCGCCCCCGGTGTGCGCTCGGCTGCTACTGCGCAGGAGTAATGACCAGCGCAGTGAAGCGCTTCAGTGAGGCTTTTGTTTTTAACACAGATATACAAGCGTATGTACTGTAGGCACTTTCGGTTAAAGACGTCACACTTTACTTTGAGTGTCCACTTTGTCTCAAGTACAATACTGTACAACACTGATGTATGTGATGTGTGTGGCAAACAGAATCGGAGAACAGACTCTCAATAGAGTGTATACGGAAGTCCAGAGAGGTCATGAGGTAGGTATCATTTTTTTACTGTTGTCTTGAGATCATGACTTATTTGTCTTGTGATCTCGAGATAACATGCTTTCTCAAGGTAACTTGATAGTCCTGATAATCTTGAGATCCCTTACAAAAAAAGGTACACTTAAAGTTCAAGACAACATGCAAACTCCACACAGAAACCTCGCCGCCCGGCCGAGGAATCGAACCCAGACCCTTCTTACTGTGAGGCGAAAGTGCTACCCACTGTGCCATCCTGGTGAATGAGGCCCATTATTTTTACTAAAGAACCCTTGAAGAACCACCTTTTTTAAGAGTGTAGAAAACTCTTGAGGTGTGGAATGAGGGTTCATCGACCGATGAGTCTAGATTTGTAATTGTGATTATTTGGATGGTGGAAAGCAGAAAATGATCAACCAGCTTCTAAGACTGAACTCTGGAGGTGTGTCTGCAGATTCTTTGAGGAACTGAAAGTGAGTCTCCTGAAAAGAATGGAAGCTGGAATAAAGGTGAAGAGAGACTCACTGAACACTGAACACTCAGACAGCTGAGATTAGATTTGAATTCATGACATTTTTGTGTCATCTTCTGTTAAATGTATCTGACACTAAGGGTTTGTTCGTAATGGCCATTTTGATTGGAATAAATGAAAGAAGGGTCTCTTGACTTCTGCACAGCACAGCACACATATAAACGCAATCAGACATATGATTGGATTTTTTCTGGGTATTTAGTGTTTGATTTTAACTTTAAAGTGACCGCATTCGTCCTGTTCCAAAGTGTTCTCTGTAGACGACGTGTTCACTTATTTACAGCATGGAATTTGACTAACGGCACCCAAACTTCTGAATAGTTTATAGCGTCGGAGTGACGAGTCATACAGCTGTGAATCATTAGCGAGTGATGGTGACTCAGTGATCGAGCACATCAGTCCGGTCAGTTCATCTGGTGCTAGTTCTTTGTTATCCCACCTTCTCGTCTTAGCTCCTCGCCCTGAGGACCTGAGACAGAGAAGCGAGACGCAAGAGCAGGACGTGAGGACGGAGGAACCAAAGCAAAATTCCTCTCCTGAGTCTTAACCAGAGCCGAGAGCTGCGTTTACACAAGCTGCTGGTGTGAAATTCACTGCTGACCACAAATATACATGATTAGATTCAGAGGAACTTCCTGCTGGTCATGCTTCAGGAAACAGATTAGCCTCTCAAGAGACTTCCAGAGGAAGATCTGGACTGGTGGTAATAACAATCCCTTGCACTTGATTGTCAGTATAAAATCCTGGAATTTGGTGAACGTATAGAACCCCTCACCACCACCACCACCACCCACCTCCCCCCTTTCCAAATATTTACCTTGATATTTTACTATTTTATTTACTACTTCAATCATTTTTTTTATCACCTGTTTGATTTTTCCACATCGTCTTCCTTAGATACACACTTAAAATAGATGGTTCTTCAAGGGTTCTTTAGTAAAGAAAATGGTTCTATATAGAACTAGGAACACTCAAAGAACCCTTTGCCTGATTAAAGAGTTATTGGCATCATGAAAGCATTCTATGTAGAACCTTTTGAAAAGGGTTCTTCTTTTGTAACAAGCTTGGCATCGTAACAAATTGAAGAACCCTTTTTGGTGCTATATACAACCCTTTTCAAAAAGGTTCTACAGCATATTCTCTTTTGATCTAAAGAACACTTACATGATGCAAAGAACCATTTAATCAAGCAAAGGAATCTTTGAGTGTTCATGGTTCTATACAAAGCCATTTTCTTTGCTAAAGAACCATTGAAGAACCATCTTTTTTAAGAGTGTATTTGAAGGACTTAAAATTTATCACTTCTGTTTTTTGGCACATTTGGCTCAAGTCTGTTTGCAAATCTTGGAAAAACTAAATATTGTGAAACCTACTCTGTACTGTGAGAATGTCCTCAAATAGAACGCACAAGGAAATAAAAGCCAACGCACTGTGATCTACTGAGGGGGGATTTCCAGGCTGATAAATATGGGTATTGTTGGATATTATTAACACTTTATAGAGGCGAGACCTGTCCAACCTCACCGAAGTTGCTACAAAAAAGCTGGTCAATTTTATATCCAGAATACAGTTAAAAATAAAATTAATAACAATTAATAAAAAGTGGTTAACACCTCTGCCTTCTTGGGTTCAATCCCCTGCTTGGGCAAGGACCCTACACTATACCAATAAGAGTCCTTGGGCAAGACTCCTAACACTACCTTCACCCAGCTGTGTTTAAAAGGTGATGAAATTGTAAGTCGCTCTGGATAAGAGCATCCGCCAAATGCTGTAAATGTGTTTAATTCATGTGCAGAAAGCATTTTCACAAGAAAAAACAGCTCAGTGAAGCAAGCAGCTGAGCAACGCTGTGCAGCTAAAGTGCTGGATGATGGAGCTGAAATGTTTAAATGATCAGCGTCTTCACCTGGTCTGATTCTTCAAGGGAATATTTATGCAAATTGTATGCAAATGTATGCTTCAC